TTAGGTTCTATTTTTTGTGGATTTTGGGAAGTGACCCCAGCAAGCAATGTGAATGAGTGGGATTACCTTGGATTTGTGCAATTGCAATGCACCATCTCCTGCTTTGAAAAAGTCCCTTTAATACAGCAACTTTAAACAAAGATGAAGTTTATCAGCAAATTCACAGTGAAAAATGGCCGATAATAGATTGGTTTGGTTTTATGGCTCCAGTACGCCTGTTTCCCTCTCTGCAGGATTCCACAGTGGTTCTGTGAACCTGCACGTCACAAACGGAGAGCTTGGGCATTGCGGTGAGGCAGGAGCGAAAACAGGCAGCCATCAAATTAGCTTTAAATGTCATGTCATGGAACCATGATGCAAAAGTGAAGTATGTTACACGTTTTATTTGTGCACATGATTAACAGCCAATACAACGGTTGGTTTTCCAATGGAACCGTGTCCAGTAAAAACTCATAAGAAAACCTCACTCTGCTGGGAATCCCAGAGGTCTGTCATAGCAACCGTTCTCGTGCATCCTGTTCTCATTTTCACACTTAGGTCACCCTGCCCTGGCACCTAGAGGCAAATCCTTGGCTCTTCCATGCATGCTTTTATTTATTCAGTCCCTCTTGCCAAAGACCACAGAGAAAACGTGAGAGAAAGAGAGATAGAAGGAACGGGAGATCTTTAATGCATTACATATGGGACATAAGGAAGAGCCAACCGCGTAAACACACAAAAGGGATGGTGGATCAAGTACTGTTTATAAGTTTAGCTACATCCCTTTGTGGTCCTTGATGTCTCACATGACAGTAAATGAGTGGCGCTCAACTGCTTTTGACCAAGGTTTACCTAACACAGTGACAAGATTGATTATTATAAAAAAGTCCTTAAAGGGATACTCCACCAGTTTTTATTATTAAACTATGTTATTCCCTTAACTAAGACGAGTTGATACATACCTCTCTCGTCTCAGTGCGTGCACTATATCGCTCTGTATTGCCGCAAAACTATGTTAGCACTTAGCTTAGCCCATGCATTAAATATGGGCCAAGCAGAGAAGCGACCAAACACTTCCACGTTTTCCCTATGTAAACACAGTTACTCGAGTAGTGTAACTTGACCTGGGCTGGTGACACAAAATAAACCGTTGCGCTTTTCTAAGCGTTTAAAATTGATGACTATATTGTATGGCGGAATACCATAACAATTGCTTTTGAGCACTTCGACTTGGCGCAATAATATCTTCACTCGTGAAAAGTCCTCTTACCGGCTCCCGCTTCCTCTCCCCCTCCCTCTGACATTTCCGTCAATACAACGTGACATGCGCCGGTAGTAGTAGTTCGAGCGGAGTTGACGAAGTAACAGGTTGTTGGAAGCTAGTTTGTGTACAATAATGGTTAAAGCGTGCATCGTAAAGGGTTGTGAAAATAAGGAGAATGTACATAGTGCTGTCATTTTTCACCGAATTCCAACACACCACATACAGCGGAGAGCTTGGTTAGCTGCTTTGAACAAGAATCCCAAAACACCATTGATGACTCTGAAGAAGTGGCGTGTTTGCTCCGAACATTTCACAAAGAAGGACTATACCTGCACAGGAACACGCCTAAAGGATGAGGCTACACCAACAATATTCAGATCACTTACAGAAAGCCCGTGGTCTTTCGCCAGCTCCGGTCTGTTCTGGATCATATCTTTCTTGCCTCTCACGGTCCACAAGAGCTAATTCCTCCTCCGTGTACTCGGGTTCAAACAGATATGGCTCTGGGTCTTCTAAAAGAAGTCATAATCATCTACAAAGTCGGCCATTGCAAATGATCTGCAGTTTGCTAATAGCACAGGTAGTAAAAGTCACGTTGGTAGTATTGACGGAAATGTCAGCAGCTGGATGCTATTGGAGGGAGGGGGAGAGGAAGCGGGAGCCGGTAATCTTTTCACGAGTGAAGATATTATTGCGCCAAGTCGAAGTGCTCAAAAGCACTTGTTATGGTATTCCGCCATACAATATAGTCATCAATTTTAAACGCTTAGAAAAGCGCAACGGTTTATTTTGTGTCACCAGCCCAGGTCAAGTTACACTACTCGAGTAACTGTGTTTACATAGGGAAAACGTGGAAGTGTTTGGTCGCTTCTCTGCTTGGCCCATATTTAATGCATGGGCTAAGCTAAGTGCTAACATAGTTTTGCGGCAATACAGAGGGATATAGTGCACGCACTGAGACGAGAGAGGTATGTATCAACTCGTCTTAGTTAAGGGAATAACATAGTTTAATAAGAAAAACTGGTGGAGTATCCCTTTAAAGGTATGATAGGCAATGCTTTTAATAAACACTTTTTGCTATAGGCCTGCTGGTTGAAACTCTTCACATCCCGATAGCAATCAGAAGTGGTCTAAATATAAACATTTTTACATATATCTTCTGTGGAAGTCTCAGGACCAAAAAAATGTTCGTCCAATCATTGCATTCGGTCCAAATGCAATTATAGGATGCCCTATCTGCCTGTCAACGTATTTATTTCCATACCTCCGCGCATCCTTCTAATAGTTTCATGCTTACCGCAATGTACCGCACAAAACGAATTGTGTTTGACACAAACTGCTAGTCAAGAAACCGGCTAACATGTTAGCATTAGCCTGATTTGGCTTTGGTAAAAACCAAGTGACAGATGAATTTACAGAACAATATTGTAGAATATATCAACAAAAGATGGGTTGCGTTTTCTCCATTCATTTTGCTATCCTAACTATTTTTCCCCACGAGTCACGACCCTACCAGAACAGACCTGTGGCCCATTTTTGGGTCGCAACCCACCAGTTGAGAACCCCTTCTGTAAATATCCCTGGTGTTGCATTACAGTAGCCTACTTAGGCAGAGAGCATGTGTTCATTTTTCCATCTACGGATCTAATTCTGACAGTTTGCGTTGCAGCACAGAAGACTCAGGAATGTCCTTATTTTCCATGTGGAAAGGCCGACTCATGAAAGCCAATACCCCAGTGGAATACAACTCATTAAGTCCGGCTTTTTTTATACAAGCCATGTGGCACTATTTAAACGGACAGGGTTCACTTCAAACTGGACAGAACTGACTGGCCACCATGTCACGTTTCATGTGTGTCCGCTGGTCCCCCCTCACTGGCTGTAGAAAATACACAGTGCACAGTATTTTCTTTTCAAAATGAGCTTGAAGGTACACTTGAAATTTACAACATGTGTAAACTATACTCAAAGGGTTAGGCAGTGTTTCCTAAGATCTTTGGAACATTCATGTTCTTTGCAAAAGCAAACTAAAGACAGAGCCAAGTGGCTGATGCTCTTAGGTTGCCCTGGTTATGTTATGAATTTAGCAATTGATCTCCATCACGAAAGATCATAAAACTTCTGTTTAAACTAGCTCAGATCGAGGCCTTCATGTCAGAGAAATACCAGAAACGTCAGTGCACATGTGCCTTTGAGAGCCGTCAGGTTTGCATTAGCGAAATTCATGTCCAGCTCCCTGGATTGACTCAGTCTAATCACACTCGTGTGTTTGTAAAGTACTAAGCCCAAAAGCAATACAAATTCACTCTTAAAGGTCCAGTGAGATGCATAAAGAAACTTGGGTGACAAGGGGTTTGCTGGACACCAAATTAAACGGGGTGGAATGATGACTGCACACATTCAGTAGATGATTTTACTACCACTTTGACCACAAACCCACTGACTCACTGGCAGTTCTTGTCTCTAGGAAAAATGGTCACATTACTCAAAGCTTTCTTAAGAGATGTCAGGCTCTCCTCTTTCCTCAGCAGTGAACTTTGTCTGAGGGGATGCTGCTTTTTCTTTCTTTAAAACACTTGACATGACATTTCTGCTTTTATATGCATGCAAAATATACACTAATTGCAAACATTTTCATAATTAGTCATCCTTTGTGTCTATCCTATTACCACTCTTGAGGAATCACTGTTAGAAAGATGTATTTAGAAAACCCAGCTGTTCTAATCCTATAGATATATTGTATGAATATGATCACTATAATAAGGCTTGAAGTTAAAGTAAACATGCATCATGTATTAACCAGAAAACAGTTTTTATTCCATATGCTATAATGCAGCATTTGAAGCGAATAGACCTATTTTTTTCTTATGAGTTTTTCTACCGATTCCCGTAACCAATTCCAGTAGTCCAATGCCCAGAACTCATCTGTGAACTCGCATCAGCCTTCACAAGTGTTCTCATGGACTAACCATCACCAGTTCCTTCACAACAGTTGTTCAGCACCTCTGCTTTAGGCATTATGGGTCAACACTTGCATTGGAAAAGCAAGAAAATAAACATGATTTATTTGCTTAAACTGATTTTCATTATGTCCCGGCAATATCAGCGAGACCCCGCTGAGCAGTTCCTCCAAACTGCCTGGAGGAATACCGCTTTTTTACAGCTTTTACAGTGATCCATCCATCCATCTATCTATCTGAGAAGTCCTTTCTCAAACAAAAGTTTATAACAAGACTGTCAACACAATAAAACTGTCTATGACTGCCCTCTAGTGCTCAAGATTGTTAAAAAGGTGAAATGTTTTATGAAGGATATTTGAAACAAAAACTTTTATTATTATCATCATGTGTCATAATTCACACTTAAAATTCTGAGTTGCGGGGCTTTCTCATAAAGCGCAACTTGATAGACATACAATATATCCAATATCTCAAACATAGCGTATTACTTACTATCAAATCCACCAGAGGAACATGGATCTTACTCTTACACAGTGAGGGCACTTCTCCAAAATCACGCTCACCCTTATTCGTTACATACATTGTCCATACATGCAGCTTTGTTTGATATTTTCATAACAATAACTACAATCACCTTCATTAAACCATAGTTAAAAGAAAACCAACCATGATTTTCATTGTTTACAGTCTGCACTTTAACCATCTTCAAGTTCACTTTTCACTTATAGCTTTCATCTAAATATCGCTCAATTAAAAATATAACCAGAGAACACCAGGATCTACATGATGCTCATAAATTAGATTTTAAAAAAAAGACAAGAATGACAGATTACATTGTTCCTGACTTTGCAGCAGCCTGATCTGTGATGGCCCGGTTTTCACTCATCTGTCTTGCGGTGGATTCATCAGCATGAGACTGGCTCATAATGGATTGTTTCTTGGAGGACTGGTTGGTGATAGACTGACTTGTGGTTGAATGGGAAGCAACAGACTGTGACGTGATGGATTTTGTGGTCTTGGCCTGCTTGAATGTGGTGTGAATAGTTTTCTTCCTCTTGACATGGAGGATCTCCATAGCATCAGGATTGACTCCTGGCTGCTGGAACTCCTTTGTGGTATCCGTCTGCTCTGTGGTGGATTCCTGCTGCTCCTGGAACTCCTGCTGTCTCTGGAGCATCTGAGACAGAAGAAAATGATCAAATGCATTATGGGGAGAGGAAATAGAGTCAAGTTGGTAATGTGGTAAAATTTTTAAAAGCATGACAATTGCTCTGTTCCAAAACCTAGTGCGCTACCATTTGAAGGCGCACTCCTGATATGATATGATTTAATATGTTTCCAAAGATACCTTGTTTTAGCCAAATTCTTCAATTCTAGTTAAGTTTCACTACAAATACTAAATGTGTCAAAAAAGATATATTATGTACAATATTTGTGTATGTTATGTATTTTTATTCTTAAAGTATTGTACTATTAGGTTAGCAACATGCTAGCATCCTAACTCTATTGAAATCAATTCACAGTCACATCATCAGTGCTATTTGTTTAGCTTGTGGAGCTGCTGCCTAAGTAGTGTTCCAAAACAATCACTTATGAGGTTTCATGATGCTTAGGATGCTAACAATGCAGCTCACTAGGGTTTGAAACAGAGCAAATGATCCTATTCAGATATCTTCAGATAAGTAATATTGTGATGTAGAGTTCTGTCTCACCATTAGATGCTGATACTGGGCGATAGCCTCATCAGTGGTCACTCCTTCAGCAAGGCCCAGTTCTGCAGCACGGCGGGCCATTTCTACCTTATGAGAGCCAGGTGGGGTCCAGCCCACACCTTTAATCCAGTTCAGATCTGATTTGTAGTTGACCTGCAACCACAGAGTCAGGACCATTAAACTTGCTACACGAGGACAAAGAACAATTCATTTGTCAAAATAATGTCATCTGAGAAACTTTTGGCAAATATTGCTACCAAGTCACTCCAAGGACATATTTTCACATGCATAGTGTCTCATGTCAACCACATGTCATCATAGAGAGGCATTAGCATACAATGGCATCAATACAGTTCTTCACAACATTTAATAATCCCAAAACTCACATCGCTCTGCAGCTGGTAGGCTTGTTTAGCATGTATGACGTTGAGCTGATTAGAATCGCAGGTGTAGTCATGGAGATGCTGGCGATAGTTGACATTGCTGAGCTGAGCCTGGCTCTTCTTAGCATGCTGGAAATCAGGCTGGTCGGCATGGATCTTAAACTGAGAGCGTGTCTCCTGGGACTGCTTCTTGTACACGTTGTTGCTCTGGAGCTTCCCGACAGCCAATGAGTGTTTCATCTTGGGGTCATCCTCAACGCTGAGGAGGCCCACCTGATGTCCCTTCTCTTTGACAAATGCCTCCTTATAGCGGAACTGAGAAGCAATGGTACAACATATGTTAAATTAAAATTCTGAAGTTGGGTTTTACTTAATGAAATAGTACACAATTTGGCAGATAAACATTTTGATGATAACTTACATCACTAGCAATTTCTCTAGATGCCTTGGCTGTCTGAAAGGGAATGGCGTCCAACCTGAAGTCATAACCTGCAGACCTCACCTGCTCACCTGATGTTTTATACACTTTCTGCAAAGTGAAAGAGAAAAAAAGAGCATAGACAATATTAAAGGATGTACACTATCATTCAAATGTTCGAAATCTTTTTTTAATGTAATCTCATGCACACCAAAGTTGCATTTATTTTATCAAAAGTACAGTAAAAAGGTGATGTTGTGAAATAGTATTACAATTTAAAACGTTTTTCTATTTTAATATATTTTAAAAAGTAAATTATTCCTGTGCGACAAAAAGCTGAATTTTCAGCATCATTACTCCAGTCTTCAGTGTCACATGATTCTTCAGAAATCAGTCTAATAAGCTGATTTGCTGCTCAAGAAACATTTATTATTATTATTATCAATGTTGAAAACAGTTACAAAATACTTCTTTTTTTTAAAATAAAAGCTGTTATTTTGAACTTTCTATTCATCAAAAATATTGGGAAATCTTGGTTTCCACAAAAAATATTATGGAGCAAAAACAGTTTTTAACATTGATAATAATAATAAACGTTTCTTGAGCACCAAATCAGCATATTATAATGATTTCTGAAGGATCATGTGACACTGAACACTGGAGTAATGGTGCTGAAAATTCAGCGTTGCCATCATGAGAATAAATTATATTTAAAAATGTATTAAAACAGAAAAAAATATTTCACAATAATACTGTTTTACTGTATTTTTGATCAAATAAATGCAGCCTTGGTGAGCATTAGAGACTTCTTTCAGAGATACTGAGATACCTCTCGTAAGAGACCCAAAAAACTTACATTGCTAATTTGCCGAGCGTTGATCTTTGCTCTGATGAAGTCAGGATGATCAGAGTGTAATGTGTATTTGTGCATAGAATCAGAGTCTCCAGACTTGTACATCCTCTGAAACAGGATAAAAGTCGTGTTATTCACTTCACCTAAAACAATCACTGCCTACACACACATTGAAATAAGCATGCTGGATGAAGCTTACCTCACTACACTGCATGTAGCTGTTCTTTGCATGGAGGATATCTGGTGAATCAGCAATTTGAGTGAACTTCAGACTGTCAGGATGTTGACGGTACTTCTTCTACAGAGGGTAACGATGAAGAAAAGCATTTATTATTAACCGTGATTTTATCAAAGTATGCTGGCAAAATTACGAATATAAACATGAAACCCCACTCGCAACCTATTTTATTTCAATAATATGTGTGAAGCAGGGTATTTAAAAGAAAAAATAATTGATTGGAGTGTGAAAAGTGGGTGTTCCATACCAGAATTCACCATAAGACCAGGGAATTGCATTAAGAAAGTAAATAGGGTAATTTGATTTCATGTTGAATTGAAGTGCAACTTACATCACTAATGAGCTCTCCGGCTTTCTTTGCAGACTCCATCTGGGGTGCGCCTGCTGAATCCCAGGCCACTCCCTTCATGAAGTTCAGATCTGATTTGTATACATTCTTTGAAAAGACAAAGAAGACGAGATTTTAATGATTGTATTGAGATGCTTTGGCCTGTCACTCCTTTATGGTATAAATCCAAAACTCAAGATCAGGATCTTAATCTTTTATGGCCTTACTCATTCTCACCTGGCTCTGCAGGTCATATGCCTTTTTGGCCCACTGCACCTTTATATCATCAGGAAGGACTGTGTAAGAGTGGATGTGAGTCTTGTAATCCTGGTCGCTGGCTAAGGCCTGGGCTTTCTTGGCTTGAACCAAGTTCACCATGTCCAGAGGCAGCTGATACTGGCCGCTGGTGGACACGGCGTCTTTGCGATAATGCTGGTCACTGTGCAAACGACCCATCTCCATGCAGTGCATGAGGTGCGAGTCCTCCAGAAGGCTACGAGCTCCGATGTGCTTGCCCTTCTCCAATACATGGCTGTGCTTGTATTGAACCTATTAAGGCAAAGGAGGTGAATATGTTCAACTGGATGTCGGTGTACATTTTGAATATGCTGTTTAACACAAACTTGGCGGCATGATTGCTTATGTATATTAATGCATGAGTTTATCAGAGCTGTTTTTGCCCATAAATGTGTGTAAATTTAGAGAGGGTAATCTTACATCACTAGCAATGCTGGTGGAGGCTTTTGCAGCCTGGAAGGGGATATCCTTCATGGTGAGTTTATAACCCTGAGCTCTTAGCACATTCCATGACTCCTTGTATTTAACCTGAAATAAAACAGAAAATGTTCAAACTTTTGTCTTTTTTATCATCTTAAACACAAGTTCATTTGAATAAATTCCTCTTTAGAATATCTTTAAAATGAGCTATCAACTTCGGTTAAGAATAGTGGATTTTATGATGTAGCATTATCCATAAACACAAAAATAGACTTGGAAGGCTCATCTTACATCACTGAAGTTAGCAGCATTAATCTTGGCCTGGGTGATTTCAGGTCGCTCAGCAGTAATGGTGTAGCTGTGCTTGAAGTTCTCTCCCTTTTCTTTGTACAAGCGCTAAATAATATCAGACCACAAGACATTATGATCCCTCTATCACTGCAAATCACAAAACACAGAGACAATATTGCATGTCCTCCTACCTCATTATTGATCTTGCTACTGGTCTTTGCATGCACAATATCCGGAGAATCCGTGACAGATGTGTGTTTAAAAGAGTAGGGTTGCTGGCGATACTTTTTCTGTTAGGCAACACAAATAAATACATTTATAATGTGAATTAAAAATACATACACTACTGTCCAAAAGTTTGGAGATCGTACAATTGTTATAAAAGTCTTAATTTCATTAAAACAAAATCTTAATGAGCCCAAACTTTTGAACAGCAGTGCAGATGACCATGCTGGATCAAAGTGTTGAAATTTAAATAGCCATTCATACCTCACTGATTAGATCTGTGGCCCTTTTGGACCCCTCAATCTGTAAGGCACCGGTGGCAATCCAGGCCGCACCACGAAGGTAGTTCAGATCAGAGCGGTAGAGTTTCTGTTGTATAAACACAGTATGTTCAAGAGCACTCGACTTTCAGAGGCATTCTGTGGAGCAATGAGTATTGGTAACCATATTAGTGGAAATGCATTGAATAAGACATTACCTCACTCTGCAGTTCATATGCTCTCTTGGCAGCCTGCACTTTGAGGTCATCGGGCAGTGTTGTGTACTTGTGTAATGTAAGTCTGTAGTCCTGATCACTGATCAGAGACTGAGCATTCTTAGCATGGAGCACGTCTAACATATCCATTGGTAGATGGAACTGAGAATGCGACTTAGAAGAGTCTTTTTTGTATTTGAGCTAAGGAGAGAGAAAGTTGATCAATTGCTTGAGCATGACCTCTCAAACTCACATTCATGCTACTTCATTCGGTTGTATCCTTGCTGGAATACTCACATCACTTTGTATATTTGTGGCATGCACAGAGTGAGCAATGTTTATGTCATCCTGTAGTCCCTTTAGCCCAATCATCTTCCCTTTTGTCTTCTCAAACTGTGCCTTGTACTTTTGCTGGAGGTAAACATTTTATAGAGTTAGATAAACGGACAACAGAAACTGTAGTTCATCCCTATTGTGTACAAAATACTCACATCACTGAGGATTTCTGCAGACGATTTGGCTGATTGGAATGGAATAGCATCCAAGCGCAACTTGTAGCCACCATCTTTAATCTTTGTCCAGGACTCTTTGTAACGTGACTATGTAAAAAAAAAAAATTCTACTTAATGTGGAAATTCAATTGTTTGTGCATGTTTTTAAGAGCTACTGAAACAGAAACAGCAGTGTGTGTAATGGATTCTCACCTCACTGATGTTCATGGCATTGATCTTAGCCTGCACATGCTCTGGAATATCTCCAATCAATGTGTACTTGTGCATTTCATTCGCTCCTTTCTTTCTGTATAATCTCTGTTGACATGAAGATCACATACATGATCTCTTTTAACAATTATCACAGAATTCAATTCATAGATTCAAATACTGATTCATAGAAAAGACGTACATCAAGAACCAGTTTGCTGCTGATTTTGGCCTGGACCATCTCTGGTGTGTCCTCCACGCTGGTGTACTTCAGAGCACTCACATTCTGTCTGTATTTTTTCTGGAACATATACAGGTCATGGCAAAGATTTATATTGACTTTCAGTGCTGGGAGATAAATGTGTTTTAAATTTATTGTCTGAACTGTCTCTTGGGTGTACAGCCCTCAAGGTCTTTCATCTCAAGGATGTTTTGCTTCAGTCATTTCATAATAGCTTTTAAGTAACACATGCATAATTTAAGTGTTAACCCCTAAGCATATGCTTTTTTTTATCTTAGCTGAGTTTCACATCTATACTCAAAGTAAGGCCATCTAACAATATTCATGGAGGACCCTAACAGCATCACTTAAAATCATAATGTTTCTCTGCTGTAAATTTTTCAAAGTCTTAAAACCTTCAGTTTATTCCAAGGTTAAAATTTAACAAAAATATTCTTTAGTAAATTAGTATATAAAATAACTCTTCTTTAGTAAAATACTCAACTACTGTATTAGTTGAAGATATATGCCGTATATTTAATATAGTTCTCAGCCATGTTTGCTGAGACAAGGGTTCTTAATAAACTATACAAAGTGCTGATGAACCGAACACTTTGTATAGTTTAGCAGATATATTCTCTGCTAAATATAACCCCAGCCATTTACCTATTGCTTAAGCTATTTGCTATGCAAGCATTACATAACTATTCTCCAAGTGGTACTCCACTTTACATTTTTTTGGAGAGTCCTGCAGATGACCTAAGAATCTAGTGACTCCCTTAAGTTATTTGAATTTAAGATCTGAAAGAAGAAAAACAATAACATTTAGTGTGTATGGTTGGTTACGTTCATGAGAGGCTGATCTGTACCTCGCTGGCTAAATCTGTAGCTTTTCTGGCCTGTTGTATATCAAGTGATCCAGTGGTCTCCCATCCTACCCCTTTCATCCAGTTCAGGTCAGAGCGATACTTTTTCTGTGAAGAAAACAAAGTTTTGTTGCATTTAGCTTTACAAGTCATTGGCTTGTAAATGACTTGTAAAGTCATTCAATTGAAGCCATTCAATTGAATGCTGGGCTCTTACATCACTCTGTTGGCCATATGCTTTCTTGGCCCATTCCAGTTTCATATCATTGGGCAGGAGGGTGTATTTGTGTAAGAAGGTTTTGTAGTTTTGTTCAGTGGCCAGTTCCTGGGCTTTCTTGGCATGGGTGAGGGTCATCATATCGAGTAAGGAACTGTATTTTGTCTTGGTGTCTTCATACTCTTTCTTGTAGTTGAGGTCACTCTGGAGTTTGGTGGCCTGGGCCGAATGGGCCATCTGAGAATCACCTGACACAGTCTTCACACCAATCATCTTCCCTTTTGTCATCTCATATTCTTGCTTGTACTTCACCTACATAAATGGAATATCGGGAGATTAGATTATAAGTCACGATACTTAAGATTCCAGTGTCTAGTTAAGGGCCAAGTGAGTCATGTGTATCAGAGTGTTTGGTCACTCACATCACTGGCGAGATCTCTTGTTGTTTTGGCTGCGAGAATGGAAAGCGTGTCCAGGCCTAGCTCAAAACCCTTCTCTCTCTGCTCTTCCCAAATACCCTTATATGTTTTCTGAAAATTACCAATGTAACGTTGATTAAAAGCAGGCGGTGGGTTGTTAGTTTGTGTGCAGGTTATTGGTGCAACATAAGTACAGGTTCATGTGATTAATTTCATACCCCACTGAGAAGCTTTGCATTAGCTTTGGCTTGCTTGAAGAGAGGCTCATCTTTGCTCATAGTGTACTGGTGCATTGTCTGCTCAGTGCCCGCCTTGTACGTCAGCTGAGGATGAGAAAACACCAACCAATCTCAGATAGGACTCCAGTTAAATGTCCACCGAGGAGATGAATATACAATCAGATTGATCTTATCTTACGCCACTCTGTAGTTCCTGGCTCTTCTTGGCATGTATGATGGAAGGAGTGTCTGCCACTTGTGTGAACTTCACACCATCCACCTTCTGGCGATAATTTTTCTGTATAGAGGTGAAAAGTGCAGCAGGATAAATTTAACAGGATGTTTTTTTACGGTTAAAAAGCCTAGGGAAATACTTGTGACTGGCTATACGAGTCTAATCTGTATGGAATACACATTTTGTAATCACCAACCTCACTGAGTAGTTCTCCTGCCTTCTTGGCTTGTTCCACATCCAGGCAGCCATCAGCCTCCCATCCGACTCCTTTCATCCAGGTCAGGTCTGACCGGTACTGGTTCTAAAAGAGCCAAAACAAATATCCATTTAGCATGCATAAATGAATTCCCATTATCTGTATCATTCTACTCTGGTCTTGCATATAGACATGCTTTCGTCTTCTTACATCACTCTGCAGTTGGTAAGCTTTCTTAGCTTGCTGCACTTTCATGTCATCAGGCAGGACGGTGTAATCGTGTAACTTCGTCCTGTACTCCAAATCACTTGCCAGGGCCTGAGCCTTTTTAGCATGACTCAGATTCACCATGTCCAAAGGAAGGTGGAACTTGGATTGAGTCTCCTTAGAACCCTTTTTATAAGCGACCTATAGCACAGAAATTTGATTGTTTTTTGTTTAGGCTATAGTATTTGAAGAATCTTAGATTGAGCATTCATGTTAATGGGAAAAATACAGTTTTGTTTAACTTAACCTGACTTTAGCTACTCAGACTTACCTGACTGCTAAGCTTGGCCACCTGAAGGGAGTGCAGTGTTTTAGAGTCACTCACATCCATTCCAATGGCTTTGTCCTTGTTCTTTGTATATGACTCCTTATACTTGATCTGTACGGCCCAAGAAATCAAATAAATCCAAGAAAACAAATTTGAATGAAGATTTACATTTAAACATTGAACATTTGATTCTTACATCACTAGCTAGGTCTCGAGAGGCTTTGGCAGCTTTGAATGTCAGAGTATCCAGGCCGATATCACATGCTTTGGATTTGTTCTTCTCCCAGTTTTCTTTGTATTTGATCTGTGAACGTGCAGAAAGAAAGTGCTTAACAATGCAGTCAACACTGGTAAACTATTTATATATGGATGACAAACAATGTGCCAAGGCTCTGGAATGTATGTGAGCATAGCCTTACATCACTGACAAGTTCTGCATTGGCTTTTGCCTTCTTAAGTTCTGGTGTATCTTGAGACGAAGTATACTGTGTCTTTGTCTTCTCATAGTTGGCTTTGTAGTTCAGCTTTAATGAGAGAGAGATTATATGTGAGGCTTACTGTAGATATGTTATATTAAATTAACTTAAACACTCAATGAAAAGGACAATTGATGCTTACATTGCTAAGCTGATGAGCATTGATTCTGGCTTGCACAATTTCAGGAGTGTCCGCAACCTGGCTGAATTTCAGCTTGTCGATATGTTGTCTGTAGTTTTTCTGAGTGGGAGAAAAAGGACATCCATTTAGATTAGCTTGCATGTTTACAAGCGTAAAGAAGATCATTTGTAAGGCTAACACAGCACTGTTCAAGCAATTAAGGTTGGCATTATTACTGAATGACAACGTATATACACTCTAATACAGTGTATAGCAGCAACAAGAATGACAGACTTACATCTTTGAGCGGCTCCAGTTTTTTCTGGGACTGATAGGATGGGGTGATGGTGGCTGGATAGTTGTACTCACCCTGTACATTCTTCTCCTGCTCATATTCTGATTTGTAGGAAATCTGAAATCAAATGGTATTAGAGAATATGTAAGCACACTGCTCTATGCCTGGTAATAAAAAAAAAAAGGAGAGATATTATGTAAAAAAAATATTTTTTTTCTTACATCACTGGCAAGCTTTCTGACGTTCATGGCATGCATGGTCTGTTTGTCGATGCCACCCCCCTCATAGTGCCCCTTCATGTGATTGGTGTAATTCTCTTTGTATTTATTCTGCAAACACAGAGTGAATGAGCTTGCATTTGACTGCACAAAAGTGCCCAGCACAGCAACACCTTAAATATAGAATATGCAGTCATTCTTTGGGTATAGCAGTCACATCATTGATGAGGCACTCACATCACTGGTATACTTGGCGATCTTTGACACATTCTTGAACTGTGGCGTCTCACAGTAGTTGATGCTGTGGCCTTTTGTGTTCTCAAGGTCCTTCTTGTATTCAACCTGTATAATGGGAGGATGCCCGGGTCACATAGGCCGTTTTAAGTCTCTATCACAGAAAACCATGTGCCCTTTTGACATTTGCTTGTAAATCAGGGAAGGATGGTATCATCAGGCATACACTGTGGCATGCAGAATGAAAAATCTACTGGTCGTGTGAGAGGGTCAAAATAGAATGATGATGTGGCCCCTGGGCTTGCGTGTTCTCTTTGTTTATATCTGTGGGTGGCTGGGCTCAGTAGGAGGGCTCATGGGATGTGGGGAATGCAGGTGTGGAGACGTTATGTCTGGCTAAGCTGATGACAGATGAGTTCACTGATCCTCTCTTTCTCTTTTAGCACTTGTGCATCCTAAATTGCCACAGAAGGCCATGTTACAATACTACAGCTAACTAATCAAGGATGTTTCTAAATATTTTTAACTGGAGATAGTAAATGTCTATTCTCCATCTATTCTCCTGTACCTCTTCTCAACATTAGGCAATGGACCAAGGGCATAAGTCCCCTCACCTCGCTCATTAGCTTGTTGATCTTGCGTGCACTCATCAGAGTCAGGTTGTCCTCAGTGTTTAAAGTGTGGTATGCAGAAGATCCCTTCATCTTCTTCAAATCCTTCTTGTATTTCAGCTGCAGGTTAAAAATGGAGAGAGAGGGGTAAGGAAGGTGTTCAAACACAACAATACCAGAAAGAGCTCAATCTACTCTACAGGAAGCCTATATTCATCTGTCAGAATGAATTCCTGTGACATGAGAGAACATACACAATCAGTCATTTAGACAGTCAGAAAGTCTAAATATGTTCTTTTGATGCCTCTAGAGTGACATACATGACAGACCACTTCAGCAGTGGTGAAACTCACATCACTGGCCATGTCATGGGCTCTCTTGGCCATCTGGTATCCAGGGGTAATCATAGCGGGGAAGCTGCCCTTGCCCTTTTGCTGTTCATAATCCTCAGTATAGGCATGCTAAAGGAATTAGAGACGTTTAGTATAACCATGTGCAATGATGTAACCACATAGGATGTAAACCAAAGATACTGTATGTGCAAAAGCGCATTGTATCACCTGACTGAAGTGTTCTGCATTCTCTCTGGCCAAAGCAAATTCTGCAGCCCCGGCTTCAGTGCTGGCCTTGCCCTTAATCTCCTGCTCATATTTCTGTTGATATTTCACCTGCACGAAAACAACACTGATTTTACATCTATCACGCACATGCAGCTGGCATTTACATGCAATCGCACATTTGGAAACTTACTTTGCTGGCCATCTCGCCTGCTTTTTTGGCCACCTGGTATCCAGGAGTGAAGTGGGCAGGAAAACTGCCTTTGCCCCTCTGCTGTTCATAGCCTTCAGTGTAGACATACTGTTTTCATGGAAGGAGACAAAGTGAGGATATATGAAGAGTATTCAGCCACAAAGAATTTTCAAGATTCTATTCACTTACATCACTGACGATCTTCCCTTGATTTTTAGCTAAAAGTACGTCAGGAGTATCCGTCACAGCGGTGTACTTTGATACTCGTTCTTCATGGCCTTTCTTATACTCCAACTAAATAAAAAAGCAAGGAATAATAAACTCATACTGGACCCGGTTGGAAAGAAACAGCACTTTTTTTTTGCAACAGAATCATTTTGCTTACATTGCTAGCCAGTGTATTGGCTTTCTTTGCCATTTCATATCCTGGAGTGATCATGGCTGGAAAACTGCCCTTTCCTTTAGATTGTTCATATTCCTCTGTGTATTTCACCTGTAAATCAACAAAACACATCACAGACAAGAAACACACAATTTGTGCAATACCTAATTATCAGGGGTAAGATTTGAACCTCCTTCTGCACAATCGATTTAGCCTCAGTGGCCACTGCAACATTCGGTACAACGCAGTTTAAGGAAATTTTTATTTAACGTTTTTGGAACTCATGTCTAAAATGTTACGTTTTATTCTAACATACTAAAAGGTTGCATTTACTATACTTACAATATATTATATTATTATACAATTCGCTTGGATTTGATCAACCGTCATTAGAAGTATGACATAAAGAATTTACTACTAGCACAGTTTGCTATGAGAGAATACTATACCAAGCTCACAAAAATGTTGTAAAGATTCTTGAATTCTTAAAACCTTGCATGCCATTTCAGTGTCTAAGGTCACTTTGGAAACTTGTCCTTACATCACTGGCCAATGAGACTCCAGTCTTGGCATGTATCATCTCAGGTGTGTCTGCTACAGACGTAAACTGCGTCACACGTGCTTCATGGCCTCGTTTGTATTCCACCTGCAGCCCAAATTACCATGTCAGGTCACTTTTTTTTAATACATCATCAATATTTATCCATTTATTGATGCAGGATAATAGCAAGAACATTTTTCAAAGCATTTGCCCTTTATGTCTGAATCAGATCACTCACGTCACTGATGGTCTTCTGAGCCTGGGTCACACGTACGATTTCCTGGCTGGTAACGCTGCCTGAGTAAAATGACTGTTGGCCCACAAATTCAGTTTGGTAACCTTGCTGCTTTTAGAAAGATTAGAAACCAGTCACATGTTGAAGTCCATGGCTAAACTTAAACTTAATGGATTTCTGTTCCTACAGTCTATATATTTTTTTATCAGGGGGTTACTCACCTGACTGGAAAGCTGGCTGGCCGCACGAGCTTGCTCGATTTCTTTTGATCTCATGTCATAGTGAAAAGTGGACATAAAACGCTCCCCTTCTTCTCTATATCTATTCTAAAAAACCAGAGGGACATAAACATGAAGCTGTCGGTGAGCTTCCTATAAGCACAAGCAAAGTCATATTCAAAGATGTGCAATGTCAGTGGGTCTAGTTGGTCTTTTTCTACACTGTCTTTTGATCATTTTCTGGTGATGAAATGAAATTATACATGTGAAATGGAAGTTTGGTGGTTTGCAATTTGTCACTCTGAATACCATCATCGCAGAGCTCAGTGACAGACAGGGACAGCTGGGGATCCCACAGAGAGAGATATAGAAAAAGAGAGGGAGGGAAAGGAAGCCAGAAAGGAAGAGAGGTGGGCTATGTACATGTGGTATAAATTTAAACACCAAATACATAAAGAAGGCCAGAGAAGAGTATCATGTCACACTACAGAAATAACTAGAGAGATGCAGTTCTCATTCCAATCCTGTAGAGTCACCAGGGCCTTTGAGCTCTCCTAAAAACAACACTTTAACCCAACTCATATAGGGGGTATTACGAGCAAAATGACCCATATTCAATTCTTTAAATACCTTTTGCTTGCAAATCAGTGTAAGACAGTATACACTGACCACCACTAGTTCAGCTTCTAATTCAGGAAGCTGAACCACTAAAATTCAGGCAGCCTAAAAAGCTGAATTGTAAAGTTTCTCTGAATCTGTATGGTTGTTTAAAATAACTTTTTCGTTTATTTAATTTAAAAACTTTGCACATGCCTGTGTTTCAAAGCTGTTAATGAGCTTAAATATCTTTAAAGTCAAGTATTTTTAAAGTCTCCATAAGTAAACTAATAAAATAATTCAAATTCAAATCGTATTACACTATTTATTCATTATAATGTACAGTCAACTGGTCATTATCGCAAAATAAATTACCATTATTTTGTGATAAAGATCAACTGACTGTACATTACGCCTTACTTAATATTTAATATATTCTTTATAGAAATACACCTCAATGTAACAGCATTACCTTATTTTTTTCACGCTTGTGAATTTTACGCTTGTACTCCCTCAAATAATGTTACAGAAAAACAAAATATGACTTTAATTTTTACACAATTCTTCATTTTTATAACCTAAGCTTTTCTCTGTAAGGTGTACTTAGTTTCTCTACTATAGAAATTTGTCAGATGTGCAGTATTTGCAATTTAAATCAAGTTTGGTTGTGTTTTGTGTTGTCTGTGATGTAAACAAAGCCTCACCTCACTGGCTGCCGCAGATTGCTTCTTGGCATTGATGTTGACTGGGGTCTCATAAACACTTGTAAAAGTGTTGTTCTTTGGATTATGCCTATGAGATATGAGAGACAAATAATTATATATTCAACACATGAAAGGGCCAAATTTTGCAAATGATGCCTTCAGCCATGACGCAAAGAAAAATAATGCGGACTTATTGAAACACTGAGCCTTAATTGTTACAAAAAAAATGAGATTCGAGCCAAAAATTACTCAAACACTTACACTTGGCAGTATGGCCTTTTCTGATGGCTGACAAAATTATTGGCAGTCAGAACCATTTTACAGTCTTCACAGTGAAAACATGATTTGTGCCAATTCTGAAAGAGGAAAGAGGGACATTTCATGCAGAGCGTGAGAAAATGAAAAGAACTGAATACAATTCCTCCTCCTGAAAATCTGGCCAATTTAATTGGTCCAACGTAGTCTTGCTCACATCATAGAAAACATGGATAGACTTAACTTTAAAATACATTATCTCATTATGATGATCTATGGACTATCGTTTTAATTGAGACACACGTGGTAAAGCCTTACCTGACCGATAAGATTGATCTTCTCCGCTGGGTACACCACAAACCCGCACCTGGCACACTTTTGAACATTCATAATTGTATCCAATTAAGACGGCAACTCCAGAGAAATATAAAAACAACTTGTACAAACAGTCAGTACAGGAAAGCAAGGCTTCCCAGACAGTCCCTTGTTCCCACTTGTGTCTCAGTCTCTGTCCTGTGTTAAACTTAGATCTGCTCTCTGACAGAGACCCTGTCTACATGTCAGTGGGTGCAGAGTTCCGCCCCTCTTTAGCTGTTGCCAGTCAGCTGACTGGTTGACCAGCTGTCAGTTACATTGAGAGATGTCACTGAATTGTGATCACGGTGTTGTTCTTTTTGAGTACATTAGTCAGAGCCTTCAGACATGCTCTAAATAGGTAAATGAAGTCACGGCTAGATTGGCCATTGCACATGTTATGAAATGCCTTATAGTTTCTAGAAGCATATCATGGCTTTCCGTCATTTTCTCAAATAAGATTAAATTGTTCATGCTGTTACTATAACTTTAAGATATCATGATTAAGTCATTCTCAAAATATGGTGACAAACATGTCCACTGACAGTCATTACAAATATTTAAAATAAAACAGAAATCCTGTATAAAATGCATCCTTCTATGAAATAATATAAAATGTTTTACTCTACATCATTTTGCATATTTCTACTCCACTGAGATTTACATTTTTTACTAATTTTGTTTTTCTTATAGGTTAATTACTGCAAGTCGAAACAAAATTAATAATATAAATAACTGTTAAAAGTTATAATCCAAATTGGTCCCACTTTATATTAAGTGGCCCTAATACCTGTGTACTTACATGGTTACTAGATATGTACTTAGTATGTAACTACAGTGTAAATACACATTGGTACATAGTATTTACAACTGTAATATTTGTGTAACTACACATATGTAACAACCCACGGAAAGGTATGTGTAAGTACAAAAGTGTAACAGGACATTGGTAACAACACTTTTTCCACTACAGTAAGTACACATGTGTAACAGGCATTATGTAACTACATTTTGTAACAACAATATGTATTCACACAAGTTGTTCCACTTCCACACGCAGTCTTCCATACTGTAGTTACTAGTTAAGAACACACTGAAACCATGATGATTCCTATGTGTATACCATGTATTTACTATATGACCGGCAGGACTTATGTTGAATTACAGCTAAAGTTTTCCCTTGTGGTACCAGTGTACAGGTAAGTCCTCAGGAACTCTGCACTTGATATAATGTGTTAAACTGTCATAACTTACATGTATTATGCAAAACCCAAACCTCTGTGCAACTGTACTAACAGTGTACTAACATGGTAACTCCTCAGGAACTGTCCACTTAATATAAAGTGTAAAATGGTCATAACTTACTGTGTATTATGCAAAACCCAAACCTCTGTGCAACTGTATTAACAGTGTACTTACATGGTAACTCCTCAGGAACTGTCCACTTAATATAAAGTGTAAAATGGTCATAACTTAGTGTATTATGCAAAACCCAAACCTCTGTGCAACTGTACTAACAGTGTACTAACATGGTAACTCCTCAGGAACTGTCCACTTAATATAAAGTGTAAAATGGTCATAACTTACTGTGTATTATGCAAAACCCAACCCTGTGCAACTGTACTAACAGTGTACTAACATGGTAACTCCTCAGGAACTGTCCACTTAATATAAAGTGTAAAATGGTCATAACTTACTGTGTATTATGCAAAACCCAAACCTCTGTGCAACTGTACTAACAGTGTACTAACATGGTAACTCCTCAGGAACTGTCCACTTAATATAAAGTGTAAAATGGTCATAACTTACTGTGTATTATGCAAAACTCAAACCTCTGTGCAACTGTACTAACAGTGTACTAACATGGTAACTCCTCAGGAACTCTGCACTTGATATAATGTGTTAAACTGTCATAACTTACATGTATTATGCAAAACCCAAACCTCTGTGCAACTGTACTAACAGTGTACTAACATGGTAACTCCTCAGGAACTGTCCACTTAATATAAAGTGTAAAATGGTCATAACTTACTGTGTATTATGCAAAACCCAAACCTCTGTGCAACTGTATTAACAGTGTACTTACATGGTAACTCCTCAGGAACTGTCCACTTAATATAAAGTGTAAAATGGTCATAACTTACTGTGTATTATGCAAAACCCAAACCTCTGTGCAACTGTACTAACAGTGTACTAACATGGTAACTCCTCAGGAACTGTCCACTTAATATAAAGTGTAAAATGGTCATAACTTACTGTGTATTATGCAAAACCCAACCCTGTGCAACTGTACTAACAGTGTACTAACATGGTAACTCCTCAGGAACTGTCCACTTAATATAAAGTGTAAAACGGTCATAACAGAGACCATCTCAGCAAACCCAAACCTCTCATAGTTTTATTAACAATAGCATTAAAATATATTTTGAGCCACTAATCCTACTCATACCCCTAAACCTACCCATAACCATTCCTTAAAACTACGTAGGCTACACTTATGAAGAAAATAAAAACATAACAGACAGACAAGTAACGTTATACATTTCACAATAATTTGTTTATTGCGAAAATGTCAAAACCGGTACCAAAAGTCGTTCACATGATGATGCGTTGCAGCCGCAGTCCTCTCTGGCAGTATTATAATAGTTGTGTATGAGGTACAGATCAGAATATAAATTATTAATCCATGAAAATGTTAATCCGGTTTCGGTTCGCTCTGTGAAGGCGCGCGCGCTTCTCCATTTCAAATGTACAACACCGACTGAAACACGGCATGTCGCAATCTGTGACGAAGCAGGCGAGAGCCAATGAGCGTTTGATATCACGGCCGTAAAACATGTCGTAAAGCTTCTTGAAGGCGCATTTTTTGAATTTGAATTCATCACCACTCACCAGCGCGCCTGAGCGCGGGATTTGACGTTGGCGGTCGCTGCTGAGAAATGGAGATGAAGATCATAAAGGGCTGAATTTGGATCTGTTTCTTGCAAACAACGTATGGATTCTAAAGATTTGGATTACATCAGGCTAATACAATTGATGTTTTTTTTTGTGAATTTATGTTGTGTTTTATTGGAGAAAACGCTTTTTGTGTCTCACGGTAAATGAACTAAATACTACAAAATGGTTAAACGATTAAACAAGGTATTTTTAAGGTTTTAAAGTGTAGGCTATTCTTGTTTATTGTTTACAGAACACTGTAATTTACTGTAAAGGCAAATAGGTCACCACAATGTCAAATCAAAAAATCTAAATTAAAGAATAAATCTTTAAAAGTGCTAACTTATGCCGTAATATCCCAGAATCTATCAAAGCATAACTATCACATTTATATTTCAGAGTTTACTATCAACTACGTAACCTTGTGTTTTGCATTTACTGTGGTACACAACAATGACCCTAACAATTACACTTTATATTAAGTGGACAGTTCCTGAGGAGTTACCATGTTAGTACACTGTTAATGCAGTGTTGCACAGAGGTTTGGGTTTTGCATAATACACAGTAAGTTATGACCATTTTACACTTTATATTAAGTGGACAGTTCCTGAGGAGTTACCATGTTAGTACACTGTTAGTACAGTTGCACAGAGGTTTGGGTTTTGCATAATACACAGTAAGTTATGACCATTTTACACTTTATATTAAGTGGACAGTTCCTGAGGAGTTACCATGTTAGTACACTGTTAGTACAGTTGCACAGAGGTTTGGGTTTTGCATAATACACAGTAAGTTATGACCATTTTACACTTTATATTAAGTGGACAGTTCCTGAGGAGTTACCATGTTAGTACACTGTTAGTACAGTTGCACAGAGGTTTGGGTTTTGCATAATACACAGTAAGTTATGACCATTTTACACTTTATATTAAGTGGACAGTTCCTGAGGAGTTACCATGTAAGTACACTGTTAGTACAGTTGCACAGAGGTTTGGGTTTTGCATAATACACAGTAAGTTATGACCATTTTACACTTTATGTTAAGTGGACAGTTCCTGAGGAGTTACCATGTTAGTACACTGTTAGTACAGTTGCACAGAGGTTTGGGTTTTGCATAATACACAGTAAGTTATGACCATTTAACACTTTATATTAAGTGGACAGTTCCTGAGGAGTTACCATGTAAGTACACTGTTAATACAGTTGCACAGAGGTTTGGGTTTTGCATAATACACAGTAAGTTATGACCATTTAACACTTTATGTTAAGTGGACAGTTCCTGAGGAGTTACCATGTTAGTACACTGTTAGTACAGTTGCACAGAGGTTTGGGTTTTGCATAATACACAGTAAGTTATGACCATTTTACACTTTATATTAAGTGGACAGTTCCTGAGGAGTTACCATGTTAGTACACTGTTAGTACAGTTGCACAGAGGTTTGGGTTTTGCATAATACACAGTAAGTTATGACCATTTTACACTTTATATTAAGTGGACAGTTCCTGAGGAGTTACCATGTAAGTACACTGTTAATACAGTTGCACAGAGGTTTGGGTTTTGCATAATACACAGTAAGTTATGACCATTTTACACTTTATATTAAGTGGACAGTTCCTGAGGAGTTACCATGTTAGTACACTGTTAGTACAGTTGCACAGAGGTTTGGGTTTTGCATAATACACAGTAAGTTATGACCATTTTACACTTTATATTAAGTGGACAGTTCCTGAGGAGTTACCATGTTAGTACACTGTTAGTACAGTTGCACAGAGGTTTGGGTTTTGCATAATACACAGTAAGTTATGACCATTTTACACTTTATATTAAGTGGACAGTTCCTGAGGAGTTACCATGTTAGTACACTGTTAGTACAGTTGCACAGAGGTTTGGGTTTTGCATAATACACAGTAAGTTATGACCATTTAACACTTTATATTAAGTGGACAGTTCCTGAGGAGTTACCATGTTAGTACACTGTTAGTACAGTTGCACAGAGGTTTGGGTTTTGCATAATACACAGTAAGTTATGACCATTTTACACTTTATATTAAGTGGACAGTTCCTGAGGAGTTACCATGTTAGTACACTGTTAGTACAGTTGCACAGAGGTTTGGGTTTTGCATAATACACAGTAAGTTATGACCATTTTACACTTTATATTAAGTGGACAGTTCCTGAGGAGTTACCATGTAAGTACACTGTTAGTACAGTTGCACAGAGGTTTGGGTTTTGCATAATACACAGTAAGTTATGACCATTTTACACTTTATATTAAGTGGACAGTTCCTGAGGAGTTACCATGTTAGTACACTGTTAGTACAGTTGCACAGAGGTTTGGGTTTTGCATAATACATGTAAGTTATGACAGTTTAACACATTGTATCAAGTGCAGAGTTCCTGAGGAGTTACCATGTATGTACACTGGTACCACAAGGGAAAACTTTAGCTGTAATTCAACATAAGCCCTGCCGGTCATATAGTAAATACATGGTATACACATAGGAATCATCATGGTTTCAGTGTGTTCTTAACTGGTAACTACAGTATGGAAGACTGCGTGTGGAAGTGGAACAACTTGTGTGAATACATATTGTTGTTACAAAATGTAGTTACATAATGCCTGTTACACATGTGTACTTACTGTAGTGGAAAAAGTGTTGTTACCAATGTCCTGTTACACTTTTGTACTTACACATACCTTTCCGTGGGTTGTTACATATGTGTAGTTACACAAATATTACAGTTGTAAATACTATGTACCAATGTGTATTTACACTGTAGTTACATACTAAGTACATATCTAGTAACCATGTAAGTACACAGGTATTAGGGCCACTTAATATAAAGTGGGACCGTTATGTCCAAAGTCAAAGGTCAGAAGACGAAAACGCGCACATGGTTATTTCTCATTATGGGATAAAAAGGTATTTATTTACTTTAAATTTAATGGGGACAATGTATTGAATTTGTCACTTTCTGTATTTCTAAATAAAATAAACAAATAAGTCAAGTTGTCCCTAATGAATAGAAGGCCAATAGTGTCAACATATAGCCCTATATTAGTAAATATTGGCCCTCAACTTTTATGTTAAATTATTAAATGTAAATTAGCTATGAAACTGTAACCCTTGTAGCACATTTGCATATTAAATGTGAGAATATTATTTTTTTAATAAGAAGGAAATGCCAAGATCAGACCTATTGGCCTAGATCAGTGATGTATAATAATGCAGCTGGCATTTAATGAAAAAGCTCTTGGAGGGAATGCCATAACAAGACAGCCCTGCCCATATGCAATGTATTTAAACGGGTCCCCTCGGTATTCACATGCATACCCTGCATAGGCTACAGTAGGCCTACCAGATGCTACAGTACGCCACTGACTGGAAGAAGTAACTCAGGTTTAAGGTGTGCAAAATGAGTGAATGTCTTTACATGAATAAATCAAATCAAGGTTTTATGAATTCATCGACATAAACGTAAATGTAGCCTATTCAAAAATTTCCCCCCTTGTAGTCTTTTGACGTTTTGAGCCCTTTGTTGTCCAAAGAGGTGTGGAGGTTCATCGCCATGGTTCCCCCGTCAGCTTCGATATCCGTCCCGCGGAAATATTGGGTTTTGCCAATTACATAAAAACACCTGCTCACACACACACACACACAAACACACACACACACACACACACACACACACACTATTATTGTTATTATTATTGAAATGTATAAATCTATAAATAAATAATGTTTATTTCTGACTAATATCATGTTTCAGTTGTTTGAATTATATTCTATTGAATTATATTCTACAGGAAGTAAGCGCACAATAGTTTTCACTTCATCTGGGACTGTTTCTTTAAATACATCAGACACTCCGACTGGAAGGGGCAGATCGGTAGGCATTTGAAAGTTTCATTTTCTCAGTGTAGTGTCTTTGGACTTATTTGGAAGAACAAGGAGCAAAACAGAGGCTGATCCGACAGAAATGTAAGTTTCGAGAGTAAAGATAGTAACGTTAGTAATGTTATGAAAACATCAAGCTATGCTGAAACATCTTTGTTTATGTAAGTTACGTTAACTTACTTACTGTAACTATCAAAGTCTACATTTCATTAACATTAAGCACTGCAGTATTACGAAATTAAAATGTATAGGCTATATTTAATACTAGGTTTGTAAACTGGTTAGGTTTGTTCTGCTATTTAAATGTTAAACATTAGAATCACTTTAGAAAGACGTCAAGTCAAACTTGTCTCGAGGTAAACGCGACAAGTTTGCCATCGGAAAGTTTAAGTGAGAACTTTACAGCTCGCAAAAGTTTTAGCTGTAGTAGAACACGTTAAATATTTCATGTAAATGACTAAACCTATATTAGCATCGATAATTGCTAAAGTAATTGTATTACAGTAGTATGTCATCATACCTCGACAATCCTCTGTGGGTGTGTTAACGGCCGCTGTGAACCTGTCTTAACATGGTCTTAACTAGTCTACACGTCATAGCTCATCAGCTCCAACTCATACATAGGCTAAACATAAGGGTTTTATTTATCCTCTGAGCCATAAATAAATAGTTTTTTAAAAATTCTTTTTTTAATTAGACATCCAGTTGAGATAACACCACAAAGTGAAAGTAAAAGTATTTGAAAATAATAGCTCTACTGTTTGAAATGGACTTTCTGAAACTGAAAAATAAATTTACTATAGAAACAGTTGTACAGTTATGTACACTACTTTAAAATCCTGGTGAATAATAGATCTTCAAACAGATTAATATCTTTTATTTTATTTTAATGTCCAATGGACAATACCAAGTAGGCTACCCACTGAATTTTTTGTTGTTGATGGAAACTACTGTTACAGTGGAAAACCAATGTAAGGAAAAGGTGGGACAACATGCCAAAATAATTATCAGTATAACTTGATGAAAACCAGTTTCAGCCTGTCAGGAATTCCACATCAGCCTACTTGCTTTATTTCCCCAAAGTTACGTTGTGTTACTGATCAGTAAGCTTTCATTCTTGCTCCAGAATGGATAAAAAAACCCCTGCTGCTAAGGACCAAGATGGAGGAGGAGACCTGATAGATGCGAAACCTGACCGCAAAGGGAGATTTATCCTTTTTGGCCGGTGAGATCGTGTTTTCTAATTTAATCCATCCAATCATCCGTCCATCTGTCTGTCCGTCAGTCTGTCTGTCCATCCGTCATCCGTCCATCCATACATTTATTTATGCAATGTGCAGATACTAACTACGACTAGTGACCAAAACTGTTTTTTAATTGAGAAAAACCTTTGTGACTATTATTAAAAAAGTTGAAAGTAGTGTTCTGGTGTTAAAGGCCATGTCATACACTAGGTGGCGCCACAGTCCTCTTTGTAAATGACATGGCCACTGTAACTCTTGCATCATATAGGCAATATTTGAATACGTTTTGAGATGTTCAGAATAATGTTTCATAGCTCTTCGATATGAAAAAACCTGCATATTTAGAATTATACTAGACTCATTTCTTTGTGAATAAACAAATTCATTAATATGTAAAGAGACTGCACATTTAGTGGCACTTTTGAGTATTCTTGCTTTGAGTAACAGCCCTAATATGTAAGTGTGATAGTATGTTTGTCAGTAGAGGTGTGCTGATGTCCTGCATGACCTTGGTCGATGGGTTTGAATAGCCTTTTCGAAAGCTCTGGGGATTGGCGTGTGTGCTGACTCAGGTAGCATGCGCCGTCCCTGTCCAGCGGAGCCACCACTCCACTCTTTATAGCGTATAGAGCATGCCAGGACCCTAGCACAGACCTCACCGCACAACAAGGAAAAAATCCACCCAAAAGAGCCTAACATTTGGGCCAAATTCAGTAGATCTAGAAGGAAGAGAAGAACTTTTCAATGCAGAGTGGCGTACCATTTAATGAAGAGCCCAGGTAGGAGAACCATCAAATGGGATACGAGGTAGGGTTTAGTTGGAGGGGAGTTAGGGGGGGATTGTCCCACATCACATGGGACACCTGTGATTCACTCCACTGTTCATGTGTGCTAGAGAGTGTGTATAGGCATGAACCCATTGTTGTGGTTGGGTAACGTGATGACTAGGCTCTTCTGGAATACTGGCACATATTGTACATCCAGTGGCCACTGTGGCCTTCTAATCTGGACGGATTCTTTGGAAATTTGACAAGGGAGATATGAGACGTTTGTGAGAATTTTACCTCAGGCATGTGGAATATTATTTCTTTGGGACACCATGCAGCAAATATTATGATCGATAAAGGGATTTAATTGTCTTCATGATATCCTGGTTAGCTGCCATATCCTATTCTCTGATGGGCATGGGTTGTATTTTGCTTGAGGTTGGATTGAGTTTGTTTTATTATTTTGATTTGTGCTAATGTCTCTTTTATATATATATATATATATATATATATATATATGGTTACACTTTATTTTAAGGTGTCTTTGTTACACTGTAATTATACAGAGTAGTGAGTAATATTAAGTAACTGCATGTACTTACTATAGGGTTAGGATTTGGTTTGGTTTAGGGTTAGTTGCATGTAATTATGCATAATTTATAGTTATTAATATAGTTACTATATGTAACATATGTAACAATGACACCGTAAAATAAAGTGTTACCATATATATGGTATTTAATATATATATATATATATATAGAGAGAGAGAGAGAGAGAGAGAGAGAGAGAGAGAGAGAGAGAGAGAGAGAGAGAGAGAGAGAGAGAGAGAGAGAGAATGATGGTCCTGTTATAGATTGGTTAACTGTCCATCTCTGTCTCTCAGTAAGAAGAAGGATGGGATATTGCAGGAAAAAGAGCAATCTTCTGAAAGCCAATACAGGATTGTTTCACCAACATTCCAGTATAAGATGAGCCACCGGAGCATTGGCAAGTGCATCATCATCAACAACAAGAACTTTGATGATAAGACAGGTGAGTCTTCATCTGCATGACTTTTTGTGTTGAACAATCAATATTAAATTGCTTATTGCTTTAAGTGGCACATCCAGCAAAAATACCTCAATATATTGCTAATAATAATAATTAAAAAAAAATTTTTTATCACATACTCAACTGTTTTTTATTATTATGAGCCTCTACCAAAAAGTTAATATCCTGTTCATTATTGGTAAACATAATAAAATAAAATAAAATAAAAATGAATGTCATCATTCTGCATTGATTTTTGTCAATGATATGAAGGTTTTTATTTCTGAAAACATTTAATGACAAATGATTTGTTAAAATTGAGATCTAAAATTGTGATGTGTTAAAAAAATCACATTTGCTCACCTGTATATTGTTGCAAAAGTAAACAAATTACTTTTATTATACAGTAAAAACATTAGGATACTAAAGTACGGCAATGAGTCAAAAAAGAAAATCTACTTAGTACACAATTAAACTTGCTCTTCCGTGACATTTCTTACCATAGCAACTATAGTTTCTGTAAAAACACCACAGGCATTAGTGACTGTCTTTAAAAGATTTACAAGAAAATAAAACTGTTGAATGTAGGTAGTTACTAGGTCGATGCTCAGTTAGATTAATGGCGCTAACTTTATGCTCTGTGTTTAAGGGATGAATGTACGCAATGGCACGGATCGGGATGTTGGAGAGCTGTTAAAGCGCTTTAAAAGCTTGGGTTTTGAAGTTTTCATCTACAATGACCAGACCTGTAAGAATATGGAGCGTCTACTTAAAAAAGGTGAGTGGCCAAAATATTCATCTTTACCCCAGACCGTTAAAATGTCACATCCGGTTTACAAATTAGGCTTACATAATTCTACTGGGAAATTTTTTATATTTTATTACAAACATGAAATATAAGAACATATGTATGTGAGTATTATATATCAGTAAGATCCAGAAAAGTATTTAAAACAGAATGTGGTTGGGCTGCCTGATTGCTGGAAATTTGCATAATGGCATATGTTATTTTGATTGTTGTTTGTGTAAAGTTTTGTTCCAAAACCCATTGAGCTGCCTCACTGTCACCTGACTACAAAGGCACCTGCTTTCTAATGCACTATAACCATCATGAAACCACATAAATGACCGTTTTGGGTTGGTCTACATAGGTTGTTAAGTGTTAGTGTGTCGCTTAGCTAATTACATTACAGGTATACATTCTAAAAATGAAAAATAAAATAAAAAATTATTAGCTAATATAATGAGTTTTAATGACACCAATGGAACAATTTTTAGCTACGCTTTTCAGTATTGAATCAGCTGCCCTCTACTGTGTAGAGGCCCAAATTACCCCCTGCTGTTGGCAAACTCACAGTTTCTATACATTATGATAAATTAAACGTAGCATCAGTTCTGGCAGGTCACGTTAGTCAAGCTCGCATCAGTGACTCTCAGCTGATACACGTTTACCTATAGGAATACGACGCCTATCACAGTATTATCAGCAGCTATCGCGTTTCTCAGGAGCGAATTACCCTCCTCTATCTCCAGTTCCTCCTCTCGTCCAGTCAGTATGGCATTCTGATTCCCCTTGAATCAGAATAAAATCTCGAATTATGTTGTACTTTAAAATCTTGAATTAATGATATCTGCATTACATTCATGCTGGTTCTGTTCTGTTTACCCTAAGGGGGGTTATTGCTGCTCTCCCTGCTCTTATCCATGCTAGGCTGTATGGATGCGCAGGAAGTTCTTGCCCAGAACAGAACCATACCGCCAAACCTAACTGTATGCTGATTGTCAATCGTATTTATTTGACGATAGTGGTCCTGACAGAACTAAAGTTTAACAAAACAGTTGTCTTTTTCTTCTCTTACATATTTTGTCTTTATGTATTTCAGTCTCAGAAGAGGACCACAGCGACAGCTCCTGCTTCGCCTGCATCTTGCTGAGCCACGGCGAGGAGGGCATGATTTACGGCACAGATGGAGCCGTTCCCATCAAGAGCATGACCTCGCTCTTCAAAGGAGACGTGTGCAAGAGCCTCGTGGGCAAGCCAAAGCTCTTTTTCATCCAGGTAAGAGGAGCAGGGCTACAGGAGGATTTGGGGAGGAGAAAGGATGATGAGGAAGAAGTGAAGCAGGAGAAAATGGAGCAACTCCAGACAACGGTGTCTATTGTTTTAATGCTATTTCAGTCGCACCATACCCGGAGTGAACCTGTTTTTTGAAGTGCACTCTAGGCAGATATTGACATGGCCGTGTGCTTTTACTGGCAGGCTTGTCGGGGTTCAGAATTTGATGATGGCATACAGACTGACTCAGGGCCATCCAATGAAACGATAGAGACAGATGCCAATCCAACACACAAGATTCCGGTAGAGGCAGACTTCCTGTTCGCATATTCAACTGTGCCAGGTAATTTTTCTTCTCTTAGTCATGGAATGCAGGACGTTTTGTCTCAAAGATTACCACGAAACAATGGCAAGAAAACACATCTTGAGTTGTCCTCTAGAGCTGTACACAATAACAAACAGCAATGACCAGAATAGTCCAATTCATGAACAAATGACTCAAGTTCTTTTTAACAAGTTATTTTTAGTGAATCAAAAACATATAGTATGAGCAGTCTAGTCTCATTGATAAAAAGATTACTTTTATGATTCAATCAAAAAGAATCACAAACTCAGAGGAGTTGATAAATATATAAACATACAATGTTACAAACGCTTTCTGTTTCAAATAAATGTTGATCTTTTTAACCGTCTCTCCATCCTGAAAAAAGTATCACTGTTTCCACAAAAATAATAATCAGCACAACCGTTTTTAACTTTGATAATAATAAAGTTTCTTGAGCACAAAATCAGCATATTAGAATGATCTCTGAAGGATCATGTGACACTGAATACTGGTTGCTTAAAATTCAAGTACATCAAAATAATTTTAAAATGATTTGATAAAATTTTATCAAATAAATGCATCCTTAATGAGCAAAAGAGGCTTCTTTCATAAAAAAAATCCTATTGACCCACAACTTTTGAACAGTAGTGTATATTTGTACAAGAATTGTTTAAATATGTGTGTTTCATATATAAGCAAATATATGAGAATTGAATCAATTTGAATCAAATCAAGAGGTTGTGAATCTAAAAATCTGAGTAGAGACCCATCCCTGGGTTAAAATATTGTCAAATCCTGTTCGTTTTAACATTCTTCCACATTTGTTCTCACAGGTTACTACTCCTGGAGGAATCCGGGCCGAGGGTCCTGGTTTGTCCAGGCCCTCTGTGACGTTCTTGATGAGTTTGGCAAGCAACTTGAGATCATGCAGATCCTCACACGGGTCAACTACAAGGTGGCCACCAGCTTCGAGTCCTGGTCAGAGGACCCTCGTTTTAGCGAGAAGAAACAGATACCTTGTGTGGTGTCCATGTTGACTAAAGAGCTCTACTTCAACTAATCTGAGTCGACCATCTTCACATGCTGTGCTCCGTCTGCCTTTTCTCTGCACACACATTTTCTTCCCAAGGACATTATAGTAGCACACTTTTAATTTGTTATCTCTTAACAGTAAATATTAACAGAATTGTTATCCTTTTTTGTCATTGATCCGCCATAAGGAGGGAAACCTCAGTCTAATACTTGAGCAAAATATTTTTACATTTTTACGGTGCACATTTTAGGATAACAGGCAGGAAAGACACATCAGGTGTACAAAGACTCACCACTGACTGACTTCACTCGACCAAGTGGTCACAACATTCAAGGATGATCCCAGATGGAAGTTTGTGTGTGAAAGCAATTTTTACCCGCTATGCTGTGCATACAGACACGGAAAAGGTCTTCCTGTGCTACTTCCTGTTCCAGTTCACTAGCTTCTCAGTGCATGTTCTATTTCAACTTCCTCAGAGTATTCCAGAGAATAGTGATGTCATGTATGATCTTTGTCAACTGGCAGTGTAAAATATCCATGTTGCTTTGCCAACTTTGAAAGTTTGCTGCCCTTTTTACCCTACAAGATAAAACTCTTTTTGGATATGAATGAAAAATATATATATATGGTGCTTGAAAAGCTACGCCATACCACAAAAAAAAAATGCTGTTGTTTTATATTTATAAGTAGAAAAAGACAACTCAAGCATTTACTCTATATATAAATTACCATTTGTAGCATTTCAGTTTGGTTTGGTTTGGTTTGGTTATTCCAGAATGCTCTTCAAGGGGGGTCAGAGAAAGGGCATGTATGGAAATGGAGTGACAAATAGTGAAGTAATGCTGACACCTGACTGGTTTTAAAAGCTATTCATTTATCCCTCGCTGGTTAGTTTGCATTCACTGAAAAAACCTAAATCAGATCTTCATGCACCAAGCACACTGTAGCTTTAAAGTCTTCATGCAGTATTTACTGATGTTTTGTACCGAATCCGTCTATAATCTACAGAGGCAGCTATTGAATTACTGGTGACCATTTTAACCATTTATCATCCATCTGACCTAACGTGCTGTTTGAACCTCGATGGAAGGTTCTGATGTGTTCAGAGCTTGTCTTTGGTTTCGTCCTACATTTTTTCCTTTTGGTTCTTTCTGTATTCTCATTCTCAGTTATTGATTGTTCATTCAGATCACACAATAAATCTGCCAGCCTGTGCAACCGACCGACTGACACAGATGAAAGGCCTTCTTTTCTTTATGCATGGATTATTAGTGAAGTGCTCAAACTATATTAAAGGAAATGTCAGCTCCACTTGTTTTGAAATGGAAAACGATTTTTATTTTTAAATTTATACCACATCGATTTAAAATTTATATGCTTTACTGTGATAATAGGAATGTTTATAAAAAATAATTTAAAAATGATATTATTGGCACAAGTGCCGATTTTTTTTATTATTTTTTTTTTTACATTGTGTCAACATTACATTGTATAAAGTGGGGCTGATTTTTGTTTAAATGACTTTACTTCAAATGAATGACTTTGTAAGCCTAATTTTATTGTATTAAAAAAACTTTATTGAACTCTTGTCATTTTTTTTATTAATACTTCTAGGCTATGCACTACTGTTAAAGTCCCCCTGTGATGAAAATCAAGCTTTTAAAGTTGTTTATATGTCTTTGTGGTGTTTTTAATATGCTTTAAGACAAACCATGTGCAAATCCATGTCAACACCATTGCTGAGTATTTTGTCTTTAAAACTACAGTGATTTTTTTAAGACAGTCTTAAAAAAAAAGCGGTTTGAAATCGCTTGTTTCTGATGTCACAAACTACCTTGTAACCAATCACGTCAACATGTGACCGCATATACTAAATGAGGCAAGGATGTAGAGTTACATTCAAGTTATTTTAAGGCATGACTGATTTTTTTATTAAATATGTCATTTTGGTGATCAAAGGTGAGTTTTAAGGGATAAAATGATTGACAGGGGGACTTTAAGAAGTTTGGGGTCGGTAAGATGTTTTTGAAAGAAGTCTTTTATGTTCACCAAGGATGCATTTATTTGGGAAAAAATACAATACTAAAAACAGTAATATAGTAAAATATCATTACAATTTAAAATAACTGTTTTCTACTTTTATATATTTTAAAATGTACTTTATTCCTGTCATGGCAAAGCTGAATTTTCAGCAGTCTTTTCAGTGTCACATGATCCTTCTGTATTTGCTGCATTTATTTGCGCTGCACAATACTTAATTTTTTTCGGAACAAAAGAACAGCATTTATTTGAAATAGAAATCTTGTGAAAAATTATAAATGTCTTTACCTTGACATTTGTGACATTTTCCCCATGTAGTGTACATGGGGAAAACATAGTAACATGTAAACTCACACTTTCCCATCTATACAGTAAAATGATACAAAAAATGGCACAGATGATTTCATACGTTCTAGCAATAATCAAATAAGGAACACGACAAAGCTAAGGAACATTTTCCGACTAATTCCCAAAAACTGAATCTACACTTAAAAACAACCTCTTTCACATAGATAAACCCAGTCCCCAACCCTCATTGGTTGTCTATCACAAGGTGGGGGCAGATTTCGAGGCATCGCAAATCAGCAGCGGTTTCCTGTTTGTCCCCTGGTTGTCATGACCAGGACATACAGCCTGGTAGATTATGTCTGTGAAGGTTCCTGCACAAAAACTGTACAGGGGCGTCATGGTGTCTGCCCCCAAGAAACAAATCAAACCTCCCTCTGAGCTGGAGAAGATGCCAATGCGCTGGAAGGTTCTCCCACTTACATGGGTGAGCTCATGGGAAACGCCATTGTGCCAGGCTGTGTAGTCGCCATTGAAATACTCAACACACCAGGACGCTGGGCCCCGTCCCAACCAGCAGTCCTCCTCTCGCCCCTTCCTGGGGATTTTAGGGTAAGTGAGGCCTAGTTCCCAGTATGTCTTTCCAGCAACCTGCACTTCCCAGTAGTTGCGAACATCCGTGAAGCTCTTTCGGCTAATCACATTCAGGGTGGCGTCGAATCGAGAGGGATTTTCAGATACTTCCTGCCAGGTATCAGTGTAAGAGACTGAGTCGCCCTCAGGGGAAACAATAAGTTTTGGGTGAGCAGAGTCAGGATCCAGAACAACATCTTGGGCATCTGAAAAATGGAAAAATAAGACTCTATAAATAGAAACAAATTCCTTGTGAGAGCTCTGAGGTGCTAAGGACAGGTTTAGCAGGGGTTAGAATGATAAAAACAACATTGCAGGAATGTTTGAACTTGCTTTAGCTGTACATACTAAAGGCACTAGAGTAATTCTCATGTCAAATGTTAAGACCCTCACAGCTTTGGAAGAGTTTCTTGGTGACAGGAACCTGAGAACGTATGAACAGTAGCAGGTTGATGGTTAAGCAGAGCAGCTGTTCATTCTTAAATTCATCCATCTGTATTAACTCTGGATCAGTCAGCTTCAGAGTCTCCATTATTCTATAAACAAGGAAGAATATGTGCAGAAAAAATGAACATGCCACACAAGAAGGAAGTGTTGTGCAGAAAATTCAGATTCCTTGCTTGATTTAATGCTTGGCCCATTTCCGTCCCACAGATTTGTCAAAACAAGAATTTAAAAAAGAAATTTCCAGTAACCTTAGAGTGTTACATACTTATTAAACTTAAATTTCCATCATGGACTAGCTAGAAACCAAATTTCCAAAACTGCAACACTACTTACCTTTCTTCCACCTCTGACATCTGTAAGTAAGAGAGAGGTGGAGATATGAGGGTTGAAAAGGTAAGCTATTTGTAGAACATTTCCACACTGCAGATGCCTTAATTTATCTATGGAGCAGCCACTTTAATCCAAAGAAATTGGCAAAGCAATTGTGCTACATCTTTTTTTATAAAAAAAATAAATAAAAAAATAATGTTTCATTCTGGTCAGAAATCATGAAATCAATTAATTGATTTGAATTAATTTAATTAATTAAAGTAATTATTGAATTCTACTGATGGCACTACAGTTCTTAAAGAGTACGAAAATAATCTACATAATTTTGTGGGGAAAAAAACAATTAATCTGTAAAATAGTTTCCAGGTAATGTTTTAACATTTTGCTTTATTACAATGACAATATAAAACCAAAGTATTTCATTATCTTTACGATATCACTCTTATCAAATTGTACAAATGGGTTTAACACAAGAAAATATATACACTACGTTCAAAAGTCTTGACATGAAGTCATTCATGCTCTCCACGGCTGCATTTATACAGTATAAGCAAAAATACACTAATATTTGTGAATAAATGTTTCTATTCTTATATAATTAAAAATGCAATTTATTCCTGAGATGGCAAAGCTGAATTTTCAGCATCATTAATCCAGTCTTCAGTGTCACATGATCCTTCAGAAATCAATCTAAATATATAGTTAAAATCGGTCAAGCTGCTTAATATTTTTTGTGAATATTTTGATCAATTCAATGCATCTTCACTAAACCAAAGTATTAATTTATGTGAAAAAATAGGCTATATATTTTCAACGCTGCCTTTATATTTGATGAACTGCATTTGGGGGTCCTATACATCAAATATTTTTGAAGTTACTCAAAAAGTATTTGGTTACTACCTCAGCTATACAGTATGTGCTACTACAAAAAAAGCACCTTCTCTTGACCCAGATGTTGATCTTTCTCCATCTGTGCAGATAGTTCAGCGAGCTGCTGATCGATTTCCAGCGTGAGGCGGTAGCACTTCTCAATGCTGTCCTCAACAGTTCTCTCCATGGCCTCCGTCTCAAGATCCAGCTGACTTAGTGTAATTCTAAGGTCCTCATCCAAAACCCTCTTCATGTCATCGTATTTTTTCTTAATCTTCTCTTTTAGAGTTGCAGTCTTGCTCTGTGGAATAATAAAAGGTCCTCAAGATACAACAAACCCGACTGCCATATTCAAAGCTTTGCCTTTATCGTACTTACAGACGTTAATGGAAGTATCGGCAACTTACATTGAAGTCAGATTGTTTTGATGACAGCTTCTTCATTCGGAAAGCCAGAATGTCTCTTTGTCTCTTCAGGAGCCCCTGATGTTTTATTGGGGTGTCCTTGAATGTGACATTTCAAAAGTCAAAATCAAATCCATCATAATGAATAGAAATGAGCTGAATATTTACCTGGGTTTGTGTCTTCATCATTGACTTCTCAACTCCAATCTATTCTAGAACCAGTTCTTCACTTGATTTAATTTAATTGGTTTGGTTTTCTTTCCAGTCTTGTTGTCCACTGGCAAACGACTAGCCTAAGCCCCAAACTTTGAGCTTTATACTGTACGGTTAAGATGCCAAGAATAGGGGAGGGGTGATGGTCCATCTGTTGTTCCTGTGCCCTGGGAAGTATTCGCGTTGTACGACTGTGGTCTGTAAATCTGGCTAAAGGACTGAAAGAGCTGTACTAGGCCTGCTGTAGACTGAGTGCATAGTGCCCAAAAGAGAAGGGAAGCAGCACTTCTAGCCAAACAAAACATCTATTTATATCACCGTTTCACATGGAAGACTTTAGAAAGTGTTGATGCATGTGTCGCAACAACTAATATTTAGATGTTTAAATCGGGGTGACCAGTTTAACCAGAGTAAAAATTTAACAGGGTTCTTCTTACTGTATCTACAGATGCATTTTAAGTTGTAAGTTTAGCATGTTTTAAGTTTGCGTGTCGCAACTGGGTCAAATTCTAAATAGTTCAGAAGCACTTATGGAGCAGGTAGCACTAATTATAGGCTTTAGCCATGACCCAAGCCCTTGTAATGACTGATACAAATTCTATGAATTGCGTATGAGTAGGAATGTTTGTATTGAGGCCTGTGCCAAGCCACCTGCCGCCTGTCTTTCTCTCCCTGATACATCATGGCCAACTTCCAGTCACAGTGCCATCAAACAATGATTATTCAGCCTCACGCCATTGGATGAGTAGGCGTGCATGGGAACTGACGTGGGTTGGGCGGTGACTCTTTGATTGAGAACATTTTAAGTATGGCTGGAAATTAGGGCAGGGGTTTTTACACAGTGTAAGGTAAGGTGTCAGGTTACCACCAAGTTTTTTTAAGTTGACTTCTGGAATGTAGCAGATCAATGTTTGTCTGGATTTCACCCTTGCATAAATCATAGAAATATGCTGAAACTGATAGATGTGTGAAACGGCACCGCACAACAGTGCAAGTGTACTTGCGCTCCGTCTAAGAAGAAATGTAAAAACAACAACCTACAGTTATTGCTTACATAAAAAAATACCGCATTTAGTATTTTTATGTGAAATCATTTGAGGATATGTCATTTTCTTGGTAATATTTTCAGAGTAAAAATACTGTCAAAATACTCCCTTTGTTTGGTAATTACTCATTTTCTTCAATCCAATGTAATAGTGTTAAAGACCAGAGGTTAAGAGCAAATTCATATGCGTACGCACATGTTGTGAGTTAGGTGGAGATTTTTTGTGAGTTCACCTGTGCGTACAAATACGAAATAATCCACGCAATTATTAGTGAATGAGACCCTAATGTTTGTTTGAAAATCCCGACTATCTCCAGACATCAACTTTGGCTCCACCAATGACGTAAGTTCGGGGCGGGGCTATCTGTTTTTATGACCAACTGCAGACGGGAGATGTTCGGGAAATAATAAGTGGTGGGAGAAGTGACTTCACCTTCAATGTCATACTGTTAGTCTGGTAAAAACATGCAATCTGCGCCAATAATGTATATTGCAGAGATAATATAGTCACACTATTTGAATAGTGAGTACATAAAGTGAGTTTAAACTTGACAATAGTGGCATTAGTGTTTCTTGTTGACTACTTCTTTCTACTTTCTATTTGTTGTCCAAGTACATAACTAAATATGTTTAAATCACCGCCTTCCTTGTGACATCACTTCTAAGGATTCACACCTTAGCGTAAACTTCCTCATATATTTTAATCACATGTTGTGTTCTCACAGACAGGGAGCATCTATCTCAGGTACAGAAACTGTAATTTTTTTTCAGTCATATAAAAATACTAAAATCATAATTTTGTATAACATTACTTGCATAATTTTGATTGCTGCAGCAGAAGAGGTCAAGCTAAGAAATTGTGCTGTCTGATTTACATAATGTAAGGCAGCATCAATGATAGTGAGTTAAATCAAAATTATTTATTTATTAATATACCACCTGAATAAATATTTCAAACAAAACTATATTTAGGTCAGGAATAGTTTTCTGTGTGTGTGTGTGTGTGTGTGTGTGCGTGTGTGTGTGTGTGTGTGTGTGTGTCCTGGTAAACCCTACTTCACGGGGACAAAATGTCCCCACAAAGATGGCAATATCCAAAATCCAAAAACAGCTTATAAATCATACTAAGTGATGTTTTTTTGAAAATGTAAAAATGCAGAAAGTTTTCTTTGATAGGTAGGTTAAGGGAAAGGGTTAGTGTACGGGGATAGAGTTTACAGTTTGTACAGTATACAAATCATTATGTCTATGGAAAGTCCCCATAAAACGTGTGTGTGTGTGTGTGTTTCCTTGTTTGTGCTGCTTACAATGATATCGATTGTTCGACTCAGTTTACAGTGTCACTAACAGACTAGTATGTTTTTGAGGATTGCTAATATCTTAAAGAAATGTCCATCATGTGCAAACACAGATCGATGGGCTTACTGTCACACCTCCTGTTGTAGTCTCAGACCATGTGGATGTGGCTTTGGAGGCCAGGTCCTAACAGTGTAAATGTTCCATTAAAGAAAATCTTGAATTTCAAACATTTGGCACTTCAAATCATTCATCATGCTGAATATGCTAAAGTAACAACAGCTTGTTCTGTTCCTATGCTTACACTCACAGCATTCCATTACTCATCACCACAACTGTACAATGGCAGGTATGTCCTTTTAAATGTCTCTGATCGACATTATAGTCATCACATACGGCTTAGATTTAAATAGATTATTTGTCTCTGCAGATAAAAACTATGCATTTTACATACATGGTGCAGAGGAGCAAATGTGTTCTGGATATCTTTACAAATCTCCCCCAGAGAATCAGTTCAAGTCTCAGGTATGTTTCTCTAGAAGAGCAGAACAGGTTTTATAGTGCGTTAATGGGAGACTCCCTTTGCCAATTTCTCTCATGCTGTATATATTTTTTGCAGAAATCATGGAAACGGAGGTTTTTTGTTCTTCTAAAGTACAGTAACAACATATGCCAGCTTAAGTACTATAAAAATGAAGAGAAGAACAAACCACTTGGAGAGATTGACTTGTCTAAGTATGTTCAATAATTGTACGCACTGATCCACCTCATTAGATCATCACCCCCCCCCCCCCCCCCCCCCACAAAAAAAAAAAAACTGTCTGTCAACCACCCAGAGTACCTTAGCAAACATTTATCTTATCTATTTGACATCATACACTGTAAAAAATGATGATCAATAAGTTATGACGACATATGTTTTTACATTGCTTTATCTCACCAAGAAAAGTTAAGCAATTTTCAACTTTCAATTCAATTTTTAAGGTGAGTTTAATGTAATTTAAGTTGAAATAACAGAAACATCCAAGTTGATTGTACTTAATTTAAGGTAGCAACTTTTTACAGTGTAGTTTGTCTTGACAAACGTTCCTTAAACAATTACTATTGTACAGTAAGGCTGCAGAAGAGAACATCTGTTTTTCTGCCTGTCCTGCAGGATCACATTCATGTTCTTGAACCCCGAGATGGATAATAAGTGGAACTGGATTCAAAACCATTTCAGATGTTCTCCTTCGTGCGTAATGTTTATTAGAGTCCCAGAAAGAGACTTCTTCCTTATCGGAGAAAACAGGTTTGTCCTGAATGTGTTTGCTTTGTTCAATGGCAGTGATTTATTGTTGGGTTTTTTTGTCGTAAATTGAGTAAAAATATTTATGGTAATACTTTAGTTTACGGTCCAATTCTCACTATGAACTAGTTGTTTATTAGCATGCATATTAGGATATTGGCTGTTTATTAGTACTTATAATGCCTTATTCTGCATGATCAAATTCTACATCCCCATTCCTAAACTTAACAACTACGTTACAAACTATTAATAAGCAGTAATAAGGAGTTTATTGAGGCAAATGTCGTAGTTAATAGATAGTTAATAGTGAGAATTGGACCCTAACCTAAAGTGTGACCATACTAACGTGCCTAATACTTTTGCACAGAACTGTACATGATATCTTTATGATAAATATAGAGATAACTTTTACAGAAACATATTACTTTTTGTCATTTCTATACATAATCATGATATGATCCGACTATTTTTAAATAGTCTCTGAATGATGCAATATAACATATTTGTGCAGTTGGGAGATGGAAAAATGGTTCACTGCTTTATTTGACATCTTAAATAATCGTCCACACAGACTGTTGGATCCCAAGGTAATGTTTGGACTTTTCTGACTTGAAAATGCATGCATTTCATACATAATTGTGCATGGTGTGCAAAAAAATTTCTTAGTTGAATAATTTGAATTAAACATCTGTCACGCAGACATTTGGGATGAAGAGACACATCAGGGAACTTCCACAATCAGAAAACGACGAGCAGGTATATTAGCACATGCCCTTCCATGTCTACTAAGTCTTTAGAACTTATGGCAAAGTTTCCCAAGTATTTTTTTGTTTAATCACCTGAGGAGAGTGGCACAGTTAAGTCTCAATAAATGTGAACCAAGATAAGAATGAGAGGCCACCATAATCAGTCTATGTGGCTCTCATTTCTGCAACCCATACTGATTAAATCAAACAAGCTGGGGGGGAAAAAACAGGTTTGCTAATTTTAGAAAAATTGCTTGTTCATGTTGTAATGGGATTTATTTAATCCTTTGCTTTGAGAGTTCACTCCACTTATTCTGATTATTAATGCACTTAATTTGCAGCTATTCAATAATCTAATGATATCATCATCTATATTGTGTTAATGACAGACAGTTGAGTGGGGTCATACAACATATGTTACACATGAGCTGCCATCACATGTGACCCACGAGCCCATCTATGTTTCTCCTGCAAAATTCAAAAGTAATCAGGTAGATGCATGCAAACAACACAAGAGGAAATACAAACATATACTCACAAATATATTAATAGTTTCACTCTTTTTGTGCCCCAGACAGAATTGAGAACAGAAACAAACCGCGAAGATAACGACACAGATGAATTGTCAGAATGAGTGCAGAAATGTACTCGCGCAGGCTTCATTCTAAACTCCAGCTTCTTTACCTGTTGTTACTGAGTGCTAATTGTCATAACAGTCTGGAAACAAGACTGAATTTAAGATATATTTGTTGTTTTATTTTCACAGTTCAAGTAGTATGTTGAATGTAAGGTTGAACAGGATTCTTATATGCTAAATCATATTTTGTTTCACTGACTTGCACTAAACCAAAGCAAAGGGAATGTTTTTATAATAGGTTTGCATTGGGAACCTCAATAGATATTAATAATGAGATGAATTGCACAAGTTGCATTAATTTACCAAAAATAAATAATATAAAGCAAATGACCAAAAGTCAATTATATTAGAACAAGGCAGCTTATTTTCAAAAAGATCAGAACAATACTTCAGTATAAAGAAAAGTATGCAGCTATGTACTGTGTAAATATAGGCTACTAAATGTATATTTAAATATTACGTTTCAAACAACGTTTCAATTAGGCCTATATGAAGTTATAATATTACAAATTGTTTCAAACAAATGCATGATCTTATAAAAATTCACCTTGATGCGAAATGTACAGAAAATAAAATGTAAATGTATGATCTGTTTTAACATGCACACATTTGATTAAAACTATATTGTGTGTGATTTCAATGTCAATATTTTTCAGTATTCAAATGTAAAAGATTTCTGGTATTCATTTTCTTTCATTTACTTTTCTTTCATACCCTGAAATTACCGTTTTTATGTTACTCTGCAAACTCAGTGTATTGCTTTTCTTTAATTCTGTATTTTGTACTGTACTATGCCTTTTGAAGGTTTCTTATGATAAAAACTTTTACTATATGTAAAAAAAAATTCCTCAAAATCAATTTATCTGTATCTGTGGCTGCAACATGGTCTATATTTGTATGTATTTTTAAGTAAAGTGTGGTTTTACCAAATAAACATTTATGTTTCCATATATGCTGAAATCATACATTTTCTGAGTAGCTAGTCCTCCTAGTTATGCTGTGACTGACAATAGAATCATAAAATACACTATAAACGAAACATAAGTTCACAAAAGCAATCAATTTTATTTGTGAGCTGTAATCCAAATCTTTAGAATCCAGCATACGATTGAGATGAACAGACACAAATTCAAGACTTTATTCTAGGATTAATATTCGGCCCGGTCCCAAATGGCACCCTAAACATTCGCGGTCTTCCAACGAGTCTGCACTTTCGTGAAGTAACGCTGCTTTGACTGTCGGGAAAAGTGCGCATCGAGGGCGCATATCGACCGCAAAGGGGGGCGCTCACAAGCACCCTTCTGAATCCTAAAATGACAAATGGGACACCCTACGCATGGACTTAACGGACACGCCCACACGGCAGCCATGGAGTCCACAAGACCAAAAGTGCATATGAAGTGTGCCATTTGGGACAGGCCCTTCATCTCCATTGTCAGCGTCGACCAGTGATAACAAACACTCATTGGCTCTTTTGACATGCCGTGCTTCAGGTGATGTACGTGGCTAAATCCAAAATCGCCCCCTAAAACCTTAATCACTATTCCCTACATTAGTCCACTAATACATTTCACTTGAAGGAGTGAATGAAAACGAGGAAGTGAATTCGGACAGCCGTTGAGTGTACATCAGTTGTACATTTGTTATTGCGGTGCAATGTGGGATAGAATGAGTGCACTCAACGTCCACTATGGTTTTGGACACCACAACAAATGCATGTCCCCTCAAATTATGACCTATTTGATGGTATAGGGGGCGATTTCTGATTCAGCCCGTTACATTTAAAAGATGAATTACTCACATCCTAATGTTATTTGATGATACTCACAGCATACACAACAACTGACAAGTTACATACAAATAACAAGTTATTCCTTGAATGCGCAGTTTTCATAGAAAGTTAATTTGACCTTCTACACTGTAGAACTGTAGAATCTACAGGGTGGGGAATATTGCATAATTCCAGTAATTTCGTCAATTTACTAGCGAGTGTGCTTAAGTAACACAAATATTAATGCAATTCAATGTGGTATTGTTGGAAGTGGAACTATTGGTTGTTTGGAACTATTGGTTGATCCATGACACGCATTACTTCCACATTCCTCGATTCCTATGGACGCCTATGGGAGTATCGTAACTCTGTTTTTCAACGGCACTATATGTCATACGTTTCAGCATCATTGTTACACATTAACAATAAGAAGGATGGTGCATTTGCATTCTATACATATTTGCATGCATTTTTATGCTAGAAACAAGTGCAACAACAATGAAAAACACTTACACACGTACAATAATCAATGACACATTTTAGTTCAATCTTTACATTCTCAGGGACCCTTCACCCAGACTCCTGTTATCATTTTTTTTTTACTTTCATTAAAAGTATTAGCATTATTACATGCATATTAGATCATTTGTTAATGTTCATTCAAATAGTTAGAAATGTCATGCCATGGTATTTCTGTTTGTAATATTGTTGAGTACAACAAATATATTTAACCCTAAAAAAAAAAAAATCCATCAATCACCCCCAACCCCCTCACAAGTCAAGAAAATATCCAGGTAAAATGGTCTAGGAAAGACAATAATTAATATTTACTGAAATCCAATGATCAAGAATATCCCCTAAAATCCCCAGCAGCATGCAAAGGAGGAATGATTTCTGCAAGGTAACTTATTAATTGACCTCCTGCATTCCTGAAGGGAACAAACAATAAATGGAAAAGTGCCAGTTTCAGTGAATATTTGTACTTATTTCCAGTCACAGACTCACAGCTTACTGTAAGTGTAACAGAAACTAAATTTGTTTTTGTAGTTTCAAGTTTCCCACAATTCATCAAAGCCATTATGAATACCTTTGTCTGGTAATTTCCACTAACTAATGACCGACACAATCAAAAGGGAGGGACCTTAAACCTGAGATTACATATGACCAGAAACTCCTCCTGTTAGCAGCATAACTCTCTGAAAGAAACAAAAGGCCTCGAGCTTCCTCCTAATCTGCCATCATAACACGCACGTTGAGAGAGCTTTTCAGAGGACACTATTTTTACCTAGACACAAGGTAAGACAATAATATTATAGAATATGGCTACTGTTATGATGATTCTGCTTTGTGATGCTTGTATAGAAATATTGCTGATACTTTTCATAACATATTATGAATGAAATATGATGGAGGGTTAATTTCCATTGCATTTTAATTAGTCTTCACTGAATATTAGTTTTGTTTTACGAAATCGTAAATGTTGTTTGCATCTGATTGTATCTGATGTCTGTACATCATTTAGTAAAATGTTATATAACAAAGAAAGACAACTTAATGACGAATTAAATTGAGTGGTAAGCTATCTATGTGTTTAATGTTAATCAGTTTTATTCACAGTTTTACAAAGAACCAGCAATGGTGGAGGAAGTGTACACTGGATACCTGCACAAGTCTCCTGCTCAACCGACCTTATTAAAAACCTTCGTACGTCTCATATTGCATTTCAACTTGAAATTTAAATATCTGCAGTCTGTCAAAGACAGTTTCTATGTTCATGAAACTTAACAGTTTTACCTGGTATATCTGCCACAGAAATCATGGAAACGCCGTTTTTTTGTGCTCTCCAAGACGGGCGAAGACGCCTGCCATCTGACATATTATACCAACAACGAAAAGAGAGACAAACCTGTGGGAGAGATCAACATTTCTAAGTAAGTAATACACTATCACACTCAAAAATAAACACAATATTCTCACACTATAATGAGAAAGTCTTACTGTTTTAAAGGATCATCTTGATTTCTACTGGCCTAGAGACACAACAGATGCGGGACTGGATTCAGAAACACTTCAAGTGTCCTCCATCCTCTGTGCTGTTCTTGAGGGTGGAAGACGACACACACAAAAACAGCAGAGACTATTTTCTCATTGGAGAAGACAGGTTTGCAACCATAATTTTGATCATATCTCTCATTGCTGTCACACCATATTTCCATGAAAGCCAGCATGATACAGACAAAAAATAATAATAAAAGTCTCCATGAAGTGTGGCTTTTAGCCCGTCTTTTGGTTTTGAAGATATACACATTTAAAATTAAGTCTTACAAACTCAGACAGCAAAGCTTTACTGGCATGACTGTTTGCATATAAAAAGTCGCAAAAGCATTTGTAGCATTCAAACATTAAAATAGACAATACAGAAAATATAATGAAATAAACGTTTAAATTAATTTAAATGAAATGACAGTAAGAATGAGAAGAAGTCTTAATTTCATGGAGTCTTTAATTAAGCAGTAGCTTTATCATTCTACTTCTAAAGTTATATACTGTAAATATAATTTAAAAAAAAATTCATTTAACCTTTTAATTTTCATTTTAAAACAACTGATGATGATTTTCCAAATCAGTAAATGTTTCCTGGTATTTTCAGTGATGATGTGAATGGTTGGTACAAAGCCCTGAATACCCAGAAATCAAATCAACAGAGACATACATTTGACACCATTGAGGTAAACATTAAAATATTTCTCTCTAATCTCTCTCTCTATCTTTACACACATGTACGTAACGTATATATAAACTACCAGTCATAATATTATTTTAAATTCATATTAAAAAAAATTGTTGTTGTTGCTGTTTTGTTTAGAAATTCATGTTGGCATAATGTATTTATTTTCAAGCATTTAAGCATAAGTGTTTTGATCAGTGTTTTAACATCTTAAGAAACAAAAAATCTAAGGGTGTCAAAACTTTTGAGAGGTTGTGCATGCTCACATACTTACCTTTTTCCACAGGACAGCAGATTTAGATCAGATTTAGAGAAGTGTCCAGAACCAAAGGTTGAAGATCAGTCTGACGACAAATATGAATATGTTAACAAGTTCAGCGAGCCTCCAGTACCAGTAGCGCACAAGGTTTTACACATTTACATGTTTCTTCAACATATGCACACAAATGCTTTTAAACTTCCATATGACAAAAACTCAAACTTCTATTTGACAGATTTCAGTTAACGAGGATAAAGATGAGAAGGATGGGAAACAGGATGAATCTCCAGAAAACAGCAATGAATACATGCAGATGGCATCAGTGTAGGTGTTTTAGAGGACTTCTCAACTTAACTGGCATAGTGAAATGTAGGCTACTCTATTGATAAAATGCAATTTTTGGAGAGACATTTAATTGAATTGTTCATTTTCTGTGGTCTTTCCTGATTAGGCAAATGGCGTTGGAAGATGTCCAACCGGAGGCGGACACTGCATGCATACAGACAAAGTAATTTTGAAGTCTTCGATTCACCTCATGACATTGCACTATTGTGTTAGTTGTACAAGATACAGTTAACTCAGTGCGTGTTGCCGCCCGGTCTGACACATTGTAATGTGCTCACGAAGTTCATTCCCCTGAGCCTCAGATGCTACACATAGATGTAATTCTTCGTTTATTTAAAGACTACAAAACAACTCTTATCTCAGCGTTGCTGAACATTCTGTTTTGTTGTTTGGAAATGTCCAGTCTTGCTGAACAGTCTTGCTCATCATGGATGAATGCTACATTTCAGCATTGTTTTAGCATCTTGATACTTGAGAAGCAATCATCTCTGACTAGAACAATTAAGCAAGCATCGTTCTGAGGTTGAGCCTTGTTCAACACTCAAATGATCTAGATTCTTCCTTTTGTTTAAAATACATAGGTAAATACATTTTTATTATTATTTTGTCTTTTTCAGCACTTCCATTAATGGCCACGAGTCCTCTGTGTGCAATGGTGCCATCAACCAGGATACGGACGATGAAAATAAACGGTACATTTTGACTTCAATGCAGTTTTACTGACATCATGGCAGCTTTGAACTGTGTTTTTCTGCTGAATACGTCTGAATGATGTCATCGTTGTTTCACTTTCTTACCTTTTTCCTTAGAATGAGTACAGATGAGAGACATTCTCTGCCTCGTCTCCTCAACTCCAATGGGAACTGTGGCTCTACAGAGCTAAACGAGGCGCCTTTAAACAAGAGGTGATTAAACAATAAGTCCATTGTATCAAATGATTTGTTTAAATGTTCGTACACCATAGTTAAATACACTTAATATAAAGTGGGACCAAGGAAACAATTATTTCAATTTCTTAGTTTCCTGGCTATTTGATTCTCAGCTATGTTTACTAGGTTGTGAAAAATGTGGCATCTGTTTAATATTGTCAATGCATATTTCTATTCTGTAGTGAAATGCACACACATGTTGAGAAGGAGATCTGCATTAGTCAAAACAGTCTGAAAAACAGTCTGATCTTGAAACAGGAAGAAGGCAAACCATGGTACCACTCTCATTGATACATGATTAAAGTTGTTACAGTTGTATCCAAATAGAGAAAACTTGAACATGAGTACAAAAGAACAACTTACATTGTATTATGTTTCTCATTGTTCTTTGTCTCTCATCCTTTTCATCTCCAGTGTGTCTGAGTGTCGGCAGATTCAGGATTCACTTCTATTCCATAAGGGGGATCAAATCCTGGCCTTCAATGACCTGCTAACAGACACAGTAGAAGAGATACAGACATACCTAAGAAGACTAAGCAAGGATGAGGTAAGATGATGATTCCATTTGATGTTTTTCCATCACTAAATTAAGAGATCAATAAATAATGTAACTGAAATTATCTGCAGGTAAAACTCACTATTCGGCGGTTTCTAGGATCCCAGCCTCTGCACTCTGAACCCTGCACATCACTCTGAGAACATGAAACAAAATCTCATGTGAATTCTCTTATCACAATTGAGTTATTAGAAATATTGTGCACACCTAGTTTAAGATCAAAGGATCTGTTGGACATTAAAGCTCATTCATTTGAGTCTAATCATACACAAGACGTTAATAACAGAAGTGGAAATTAGGTTATCTAAGTTACCTTGTCCTTTTGCTTGTACATTAATCATGTAAATACGCAAAACAATGTGAATTAATTGTTATATTCACTGACATCAAAATGCCACTGAGTGAAAAAAAATTGATAACATTTAGAGTGTATATATGTACATAAAACTGTATGAGTGGTAGAGGGTATATATTAGTTCATGTTTGTTTATGTGAAGAACAAGATTCACTCAAGTATTATTTTATTGCAATTATGAAGGTTAATTCACTGTGAAAAATGTTCTAAAGTTTTAAACAGTTCAGTTCTAAACTGTTCATGTATTTCAACCTCTTTAAAGCTGCACTTTTTACATTTCTAACAGTATGAGATACTTTATACTGATACAACTTTTCTGTCATTGTGCATTTCCTTTTGAAAAGCATGTAATTAATGATGTATTTGTTACATGTGTGTCCTGAGTCCCCCCCCCCCCCCCTCCTCCTCCTCCTCCTCCTCCTCCTCCTCCTCCTCAGTTTTCCCTCTCCTCGTTAGTTCTCAGTTCCTTCCCCTGTGTCTAGTTAATTTGCCCCAGCTGTGTCTTGTTCCCCTATCTGTTCTCTGTGTATGTAAACTCTGTGTTCTCCTTCAGTCCTTGTCGGTTCTCGTTTGTGTATGGTGTGTTGCTGTCTCCCGTGATCCTTGTTTTGTTATATTGAGTAAAGTATATTTGAATTGGACCTGTTGACTGCTGCCTCTTCATCTGCCTGCACCACACCTGTAACAGTATTGCTCAAAATCATTATACATTGATTTAAATGTTTCAGTCACTCTTTAGATTTATGATTACTGAAGATATAGACTACCTAATTTATTGATGAATTATGCTCTACAAAAGCATGCATTTGCACATTGTTACACTGTGAATTTTTATTAAACTTTCATAACTCTTAACCCTTGATTGTGTGTGATTGTGTGTCACTTAAACTAGGGATTTAAATATTAGAGCTCGGAGATACAAGGGATAATCAATGGATTTGAATGATTAATTGGATATATACACAAGAGTTTATTGTGCATTGCAAAGTAAAATAAAGATTTTTGTAAGATATTTAGCCTTTTGATTATAAAGGTTTCTTATGTTAAAATCTTTGCTTACTGTAAAATGTTCCAATTTGTCCTCAAAACAATTTATCTGTATCGGTGCATTCGAATGCAAGATGGGATAAATCAGTGCCAGGTCGTAGGTTTGCATGTATTTTTATGCCAGGAATAAGCAAAGTGCAACAATGAAAAAAATTCTGCACACCCCCTTCCCTTACGTATGTACAATCAATGACATAATATAGATCTTTACATTCTCAGGGACCCTTGACCCAGACTCCTATTATAAAAAGAAATCTAGATTATCAAGTTCTTCAGTAGTTGTGGAACTCCAGTAAGTCGGCTGTCAATCTTATTCACTTTAATCATCGGATTAATTGATTATTTTCTCTTTAATACAGATGATGCTGTCATTAATAAATTAGTCATGACAAAAAACAAAAAAAAAGATGATATCCAATCTATTTTTCCATGCGTCCGCTATGAAAGCAATTATAATGTTACCTAGCTTGTTTGGTGGCTTGTTTAATACAGTTTGTTGGATACTAAGTCACCCACTACAACTAACACAGCGATACGCCTATGTGTGAACTGCTGATATTAGGCTAATATTGTAGATCTACCGGTGTGTTGGGATTTGCTCAATATGATGTTAAGTGGCAGATCAGTGGGCTTGTCTGTCCCAGACGAAACCTATACTGTGGAGGACACAAGATAATTAAATAATTATAACATGACCGCTTGGTGAATCTATGAACCTAACTCATATTTAAACAACTATCCCTTTGTGTAAGCTACAAGTGCAATCTTGGCTGTATGATTAGTGTCCTCATCACAAATTGCTTTTGAAATATTTTTTGTTTATTGTCCCCCACTACTGTTAGATGAAATTTACTCCAATTTAACCCCAAAATGGGGTGAAATCCTTTACTCAGATACTCGCCCTCAAGTTGATTACAAACCTTTATGAATTTCTTTCTTCTGCTAAACACAAAAGAACATATTTTGAATAATTTCGGTGACCAAAAAGTTGATGGGTCTCATTCACTTCTATTGTATATATTTTTGTAAATGCTGGAACCTTTTGCATTTCTATGGGAAACCAAGAGCTTCTAACCCCAAAAATCACTATATTCTGATAAATGGAAAAGTGTCAGGTTTCAGTGTATATTTGTACATATTATTTTCAGTTACAGTTTCTTGCATACCGGTATGCTCAGAAGCTAATTTCTTTTTGTAGTATAACGTTTTCCACAATACCACAAAGCCATTATGATCGTCTTGTTTGTCTGGTAATTTCCACAAACGAATAACTGACATCATCAAAAGGGAGGGACCTTTAAACCTGAGCTTAAATATGACCAGAAACTCCTCCTGTTAGCAGCATAACTAGAACTGGAACATAAAGGAACAAAAGGCCTCGAGCTTCCTCCTAATCTGCCATCATAACACGCATGTTGAGAGAGCTTTTCAGAGGACACTATTTTTACCGAGACACAAGGTAAGACAATAATATTATAGAATATGGCTACTGATTTGATGATTCTGCTTTGTGATGCTTGTAAAGAAATAATGCTGATACTATTCATAAAATATTATGAATATGGATGGTTCATTTATTGCATTTTAATTAGTTCTGTGGTGACATTTCACTGAATATATATATACAAAATCATAAATGTTTTTTAAAATACGATTGTATCTGATGTTAGTGCTTACAGTAAAACAACTTAAACATTTCACATCTATTTTAGCACAACAACATGAACATGTTCAAAAATAAAAGTAAGTCTAAAACCTCTTGATAAATGTTATAATCAAGAAAGCCTACCACTCAATTTAATTTGTCATTATTATTAATGTATTAATGTTAATCGGTTTTATTCACGTTTCTGCAGCAGCAACTGCTGCAAAGTTTTACAAAGAACCAGCAATGGTGGAGGAAGTGTACACTGGATACCTGCACAAGTCTCCTGGTCAACCGGCCTTTTTAAAAACCTTCGTAGGTCTCATATTGCATTTTAACTTGAAATTTAAATATCTGCAGTCTGTCAAAGACAGTTTCTATGTTCATGAAACTTAACAGTTTTACCTGGTATATAACAGAAATCATGGAAACGCCGTTTCTTTGTGCTCTCCAAGACGGGCGAAGACGCCTGCCATCTGACATATTATACCAACAACGAAAAGAGAGACAAACCTGTGGGAGAGATCAACATTTCTAAGTAAGTAATACACTATCACACTCAAAAATAAACACAGTATTCTCACACTATAATAAAAAAATTCTTACTGTTTTAAAGGATCATCTTGATGTTTACTGCCCTAGAGACACATCAGATGCGGGACTGGATTCAGAAACACTTCAAGTGTCCTCCATCCTCTGTGCTGTTCTTGAGGGTGGAAGACGACACACACAAAAACAGCAGAGACTATTTTCTCATTGGAGAAGACAGGTTTGCAACCATCATTTTGATCATATCTCTCATTGTTGTCACGCCATAGTTCCATGAAAGCCAGCATGATACAGACAAAAATAATAATAAAAGTCTCCATGAAGTGTGGCTTTTAGCCCGTCTTTTGGTTTTGAAGATATACATATTTAAAATGGAGTCTAACAAAAACAAAAAAAACGAAATAAACAAAGAGACATGAAATTAAAAGAAAAATACACAGTAAGATTGAGAGTCTTTAAGCAGTAGCTTAATCATTATACTTCTAAAATAAGTTATATACTGTAAATATAATTTTAGAAATTGTTTAGTTTAAACTTTTAATTTTCATTTTAAAACAACTGATGACGTTTTTTTCCAAATCAGTAAATGTTTTCTGGTGTTTTCAGTGATGATGTGAATGGTTGGTACAAAGCCCTGAATACCCAGAAATCAGATAAACGGAGACATACATTTGACACCCTTGAGGTAAACATTAAAATATTTCTCTCTAATATCTCTCTTTTAATTATTTTGTAAATTATTTGTAATTTGTAATATTATTATAACTTCAACAATTACTCTTTATTTTTTTATATATATTTTTTTGTTTAGAAACTCACACATCACGCATAATTTATTAAGTACTTTGATGAGTGTTTTAACATCCTAAGAAACAAAAAATCTAAGTGTGTGAAAAGGTTGCGCATGCTCACATAGTTTATTTTTTCTCCTCAGGACAACAGAAGTAGATCAACATCTGCACCTCTGAACAGTTCAGAAAAGGTTGAAATTCAGTCTGATGAAAGATGGTCAGCACCTGAACTAATGTTATCTCCTCCACCAACCCCAACCCATTATGACTATCCTCGCAAGTTCAGCGAACCTCCAGTACCAGTAGAGCGCAAGGTTTTACACATTTATATGCTTCTTTAACACAAATGTTTTTAAACTTCCATATGACAAAAACTCACTTCAATTTGACAGATTTCAGTTAACGAGGATAAAGATGAGAAGGATGGGAAACAGGATGAATCTCCAGAGGACAGCAATGAATACATGTTCATGGCATCATTGTAGGTGTTTTCCCCTTAACTGGCATAGTGAAATGTAGGCTACTCTGTTGATAAAATGCAATTTTCTGAGAGACATTTAATTAAATTCTGTGGTCTTTCCTGATTAGGCAAATGGCGTTGGAAGATGTCCAACCGGAGGCGGACACTGCATGCATACAGACAAAGTAATTTTGAAGTCTTCGATTCACCTCATGACATTGCACTATTGTGTTAGTTGTACAAGATACAGTTAACTCAGTGCATGTTGCCGCCCGGTCTGACACATTGTAATGTGCTCACGAAGTTCATTCCCCTGAGCCTCAGATGCTACACATAGATGTAATTCTTCGTTTATTTAAAGACTACAAAACAACTCTTATCTCAGCGTTGCTGAACATTCTGTTTTGTTGTTTGGAAATGTCCAGTCTTGCTGAACAGTCTTGCTCATCATGGATGAATGCTAAGTTTTAGCATTATTTTAGCATCTTGATACTTGAGAAGCAATCATCTCTGACTAGAACGATTAAGCAAGCATTGTTCTGAGGTTGAGCCTTGTTCAACACTCAAATTATCTTAATTCTTAATGCCCTTTTGTTTAAAATACATAAAGTTAAACACATTTGTATTATTATTTTGTCTTTTTCAGCACTTCCATTAATGGCCACGAGTCCTCTGTGTGCAATGGTGCCGTCAACCAGGATACGGACGATGAAAATAAACGGTACATTTTGACTTCAATGCAGTTTTACTGACATCATGGCAGCTTTGAACTGTGTTTTTCTGCTGAATACGTCTGAATGATGTCATCGTTGTTTCACTTTCTTAACTTTTTCCTTAGAATGAGTACAGATGAGAGACATTCTCTGCCTTGTCTCCTCAACCTCAATGGGAACTGTGCCTCTACAGAGCTAAACAAGGCGCCTTTAAACAAGAGGTGATTTTTATCATTTCAGTTCACCCTTCTCCCCCATTAGTCCATTAGTTCAACACTAGAAATACAATTAGAGTATAATGCATAAAAGGAAACCCACTTTATATTAGGTGTCTTTAAAAATGTACATCAAAAAATATAAATTGTTACGTACAGTGTACTTATTATGTTCATGCTGTATTGCAAAACACTCTTGCTGCTACTAAGGTGGGATACAGGTAAGGTTAGGGACAGGTTTGGTGATATGGATAGGCTTAAGAGTGGTTTAAGGTGTAAGAGAAGGGTCAACAGTATAATTATAATGTAATTACATAAATTAATTACAGTTGTAATTACATGCAGGTAATTTTTTACATTGTAAAAACATGTACTTACACAAGAAGTGCATTGTTTCAAATGATTTGTACACCATAGTTAAAGACACTTAATATAAAGTGGGACCAAGGAAACACTTTCTTAATTTCCTTTGCCATTTGATTTTCAGCTATATTTAGCACTAAGGTTATAAAAAATGTGGCATCTGTTTTAAAATCATCAATGTAAATTTCTAATTGTAGCGAAAGGCGAACACACGTGGCGGGAAGAAGATCTGCGTTAGTCAAAACAGTCTGAAAAACAGTCTGATCTTGAAACAGGAAGAAGGCAAACCATGGTACCACTCTCATTGATACATAATTAGTTATTGCAGTTGAATCCCAATAGAGAAAACATGAACATGAGTACAAAAGAACAACTTACATTGTATTACGTGTCTCATTGTTCTTTGTCTCTCATCCTTTTCCTCTCCAGTGTGTCTGAGTGTCGGCAGATTCAGGATTCACTTCTATTCCATAAGGGGGATCAAATCCTGGCCTTCAATGACCTGCTAACAGACACAGTAGAAGAGATACAGACATACCTAAGAAGACTAAGCAAGTCACTAAATTCAGAGATCTATAAATAATGTAACTGAAAATATCTGCAGGTAAAACTCACTATTTGGGCTTTCCAGGATCTCAGCTTCTGCACATCACTCTGAGGACATGAAACAAAATCTCATGTGAATTATGTTATCACCACTGAGTTATCAGAAATGTTGTACACGTCTAGTTTAAGGTCTGTTGAACATTAAAACTCATTCATTTTAGTCTAATTATACAGGTGGAAACCAAGGTGTTAATAAGAAAAAGACAAAGTACCTTGTCTTCTTTTGCTTGTCCATAAAACAATGCGAATGAATTTTGTTAGATTCACTGACCTGAAAATGCCATTGAGTGAAAGAAATGAGTAACATTTAGACTGTATGTACATAAAACTTTATAAGTGGTAGTGGGTATATATTAGTCCTGTCTCCTCTCCACCAGTAAGCTGGTGTGTGGTGGGCGTTCTGGCGCAATATGGCTGCCGTCGTGTTTGAGGAGATTCCTCCTTCCATGTAAAGCGCTTTTGCCTTTGAGTACCCAGAAAAGTGCTATATAAATTTGATGAATTATGTTTGCTTATGTGAAGAACAAGAGTCAAGTATTACTTTATAACAAGTATGAACTGAAGGTTAATTTGTGGTAAAAAAAAAACTGTTCATGTATTTCAACCTCTTTAAAGCTGCACTTTTTTCCCCTTAATGGGACATTGGGGGTGGAAAAAATATGAGATGGGAGGAAAAGTAAGTAAATGCTTTTGCGTTCCCTCACAAAAACTTTTGGTCCCACTGAAAACATTTGCGTTCCCTCACAAAAACATTTGCGCTTCCCCCTAAAAACACTTTAGTGTTCCCTGGAGAAACTTTGCATTTGCTCACAAATCTTTTTTTTTGTTCTTTGTGAGCAAACGTAAAGTTTCTCGGAGGAACACAAAACATTTGCCAGCGAACGCAAAATCATTGACAATAATGTTTCCTCCTATCTCGCTTTTTTCTTCAACATGTCCCTTTAGGGGCTCTGTACTTTTTATAATTCTAACAGTATGAGATACTTTATATACTGTGTATATACAACTTTACTGTCATTGTGTATTTCATTTTGAAAAGTATGTAATCAATTATGTATATTGCTCCAAATCATTATACATTGATTTAAATTTTTCAGTCACAATTTAGATGGATTACTGAAAAAGTAGTAGCTGTACAAAAGCATGCATTTGCACATTGTTACACGGTGAAATGTTATTAAACTTTCATAATTCTTAACACATGACTCTTAACATTGTGTGTTTCACTAAAAACTATCGATTTAATATAGAGCTCAGGATTGGTATAATCAATTAATTTTAATGATTAGTTGGATATTATACAAGAGAGTTTATTGTGCATTTCAAAGTAAAAGTAATAAAGATGGTTGTATTTAAGAAATTAACAACTGAATTAATTTTTATGCATGAATGCACACAGCAACTGGCATCTGAAGCTCTATTTAGATTAATGCTACATGATCTAAATCTAAAAGGCAGAAATAGCGCGACACAAGTGTTTTTTTGCTAGTTTCAGCCTGACGCAGTTATCATTTTCACGTCCTGTTGTTTAAACAGCAAATACATTTGCGCCTATGTGCGCTCATGGGCTGCTGGTCTGAAAACGAGGTGTGTTCAGGCGCATTGTTGGCACGTTGCTATGTTGAGGCAACTGAAATAGACATAACTAACGCGCTCTTTAAATAACAAAAAAAATATTGCGCAATTGACCAAGTAAAACCTGGTCAAAAGTCGATGGCGCAATATTTTTTTTGTTATTTAAAGAGCGCGTTAGTAATGTGCGCCTATAGGCGGGTCCACAATGCACTACACTGCTTATTACACACACAGGGACGCGCAGCAGCACACAAACATACAAAATATAAAAAAAATAAAAGGATTACAATGTAAAAGATTAATATTGTGTCTGTGTACACATAAAAGATATGGAGGAATCCGGCTTGTCACGTAGATGGTCTGCTTGCATGCTTTAACCTCGCGCACCAGCAGATCCATTTGCGCTCTGGAGACGCGTTTAGTCTTTCAGCTTGCAAATTCCGTCATGTAAATAGCAATCCGCCATGGGGCGTGGTACTGGGGGGATATAGGGTACCGAGTGTACCCAGGGCCCGAGGCAGGGCGGGGGCCCTTAGAAGTCGCCGAGCTCAAGTCAAAAGTCCGTCTCCACCCCCCCATGTTGGAGAAGTCGCCGAGCTCAAATCAAAAGTCCGTCTCCAACCCCCCACCACCACACCACTGACTACTCATTAAGAGAATAGAGGTTTAGAGAATAGAGACGTGATTGGTTACAAGGTAGTTTGTGACGTCAGAAACACCAGCGATTTCAAACTGCGTCTTTGGTTCAATGCAAGTTTTAAGGAGAAAATACTCAGCAATGATGTTGACTTATGAATTTGTCTTAAAGCATATTAAAAACACCATAGACATATAAACAACATTAAAAGCTTGATTTTCACCACAGGAGGACTTTAAATATACAAGATTGGCCTATACAACAACCAATATGGGGTCAAAATATTGTTTGTTCCTACTAAAAATCAAACATGGCTCATGGGTAAATCCGATATTATAAAATAACGTAAATTAATCCTGTTGAATATGGTAATCTTTTATTTATATTATTACTTATAATGATATGTTAGTACTTATAGATATTTAGTACTTATAATGTGGTACGTTATAAGTACTATATCTAATAACTATAACTATGAGTTTATTCATGTATGACTGATAGTTTCCACAACCAAATTCTTATTACAAACTCAATGAATGAAACATGATGAACAGAACTCAGATGTTGTTGTTTGATTCTCTGAGAGGGACTTAAAAAAAGAAACAGAAACCAGAAACTCCACCTACTCTTCCCATCACAGCCAAGAACAGAGATCTGTAGCTCTCTTGTAAACTTCCAACATGCATTTTTCTCTGAGTAAAACCAGTTTTTCCACATTCTGTAAAAAGCACACCTGCATTTTGAAGTGCTGAAGGTGACATAACTCATTTTTACATAATCAGATTTTGTCTCACAATTAGCATTGTGTAAATCAGACTGTAGGTGTTTTTAATTTCTGCAGTAATTTAATGCTTTTCAAATTTTATAGTATCTATAAAGATAAAAGATTTTTCATTATTGAAATATAAAGACAGAGAAACACACACTAATACCCTGGCAGAGGCCCCGGGGCCGTCACAATCCCCACTAGCTTATTCATGTATTATCTGGTGGTTTTGACAACCAAAACAAACTGATAAGGTGTTGTTGCTTGTGACTGGCAGATGGACATTTTACCTGAGTGAATAACCAGAAATTCCATCTTCTCTTCCCATCAGGGCCAGGGACAAAACACGCCCAGATCTGCACTACTATCATGAAATGGTCATGCAGAAGAGGACACCTAGAAACACCAACTATATCTGTATGTATAATTGTGTATGCGTAACACACATACACCCACATATAACATCCTGGATGAGTAAAGGTAAACAAAATAGGAGTGTTGTTAGAAACCAATTAATAATGGGTTCGATACTGAAAAGTCACTGAGATACTATTTCTGTGTAAGAACACAATACCCAGAGAAACAGGCACAGGATCTATGAAATGTTGTATACTGTATGATGGACCCACCCAAATGACACCCATGCAGAGAATTGAACAAATGAAACAGTTATTTTCATGAATTGTGATTGTGATTTTAAGGATCCGTCACTGGAATGCAGTAAGATTCATCCAATGAGATTAACTGGAAACAGAATCAGAATATCACATTACAGGACATTATTTACATGTTGCATGCATATAAATGTACAATTTGGAGAAAATTTGAAGTTGCACCATTTATTCATCTATGGGGTTTCTTAGAACATGCCTTGATCTGTATCTGACAATGGGTCTGCAGAAACCCTATCCATCGCAGAAAATGACAGGTTGTTTCCTCATTGAAGAAAGCAGGTTTGTCAGGGAATCTATGGCTCACATCCAAGAAACTTTACTGGAAGGTTATACAAAAAATATATTATGCAAATTTTACACAAAGTTAAATAATCAAAATGCATGTAAGTTGCACAGTTTTGCAATGCGATTAGATTTATGTTGCTGCTGATGCATTTAGGGGAAACAAGAATTATACATTCTATCTATTTCATGTTAAAATTACCCCTCTTCAAGATACTTTTCTAGCAAAGCAGTTTTTCATTACAAATAACTATAGACCAGTAGCTGTATCAAAGGCATTTCTGTGCTTTCTGTGATTAGGTGGATAGTTCAACACCTTTCTCAAAGCTCAAATCAATGGGCTGAAAAATGCTTCTAAATATAGCATCACCTATTTCCTTCCGGCATGATATAAAAACAACTTAGAGTGAGAACCCATTGTTTATCCATAGAAATAAACTGCGGTTAGCAAAATACAAGGTCAAGTCTTGAAGAATATATAGATATTGCTAATGGTAATTTATTTTTTTAAACATTCATTTTACATTTAGTTGTAGTCACAGGATTCCTCTAAAACAGAGTTTACTTCTAGAGGAAACTATTTTGGCCAATGGCTTTACTAATAAACATTAATTTTAATGATCAACTGAACATTAGACACTGACTACTGGAAATCATGTAAATCATACTACACAAAAGTTTGAGGTTAGTAAGATTTTTTAAAGAAAATACTGTTTTTATTAAGCAAGGATGTATTAATGTGATGAAAAGTGACAGTGTAGAAGTTTGCTACAAAAAAGTTTAAAAAAAAGTTATATTTAAGAATCCTGAAAAAAAAAAAAAGTTTCCACAAAAATATTAAGCACCAAATCAGCATATTATAATTATTTCTGAAAGATCATGAAACACTGAAAACTGGAGTAATAGCTGCTGAAAGTTCAGCTTTGCCATCACAGGAATAAATAACAATTTAAAATATATTAAAATAGAATAGAGTCATTTTAAATTGTAATAATATTTCACTATTACTGTTTTTACTTCTTTCCAAATAAATGTAGCTAGCCTTGGTAAGCATAAGAGACTTTCAAAAACATTAGAAATCCTTCCAACCAAGATTTCTTTTTACTTTTGGTAGTCAGTGTGTATTTCTGGAGCCAAGATTTCATAATGCAAAAAGGTGTGTCCTTATTCTCACATATTGTTCCCATCAGTGATGTCAGAATGTTTTTGTATATCACACCATCCCCTCAGATACAACTGATTACCAGTCACCACACATCTACAAAACATTTTTCAACATTTTTTTGTGCATATTTGCACATTTCTTTTCATTTATATATATATATATATATTTTTTTTTTAATAATGTTTTAGTCTAATAATATGTTGTAACCATAATTAGACTTCATTAAAAAAACAAATTGCATGAACAAAACATTTCCTTTTATCAGCTTATCGCCCATCAAAACTGTGTTGTTACTTTAGTTTTTCTTCTTGGCTGATTGCCCTGATTACCCTTTCCTAGTATAAAGACTTTTGGCACGCTTTTTAACATACCAGAGGAGTGCTCTCATCTTTTACCTGATGACTGATATCTAGTGTTTTTATTTTCTTCTTCTTTTTCTCGTATGGAGAATTTTAATTGACGTAAACAAACGCCCAAAATGCACACACCCAAAATTCTTCATTGAGTTAGAATGTTAAGGTAACACCATTGGCATGTTCAAGATCACAACGGTGCGCAACGTTTTGCTACGGTTTCCGGGTTGAACGTCATGTTTCCTGGAAACGTCCTGCACCGGTGTGGAACGGGGTTTGAGATGCGTTTTCTCTTGTTTGGTGGGCGTGTCAGAACTGCAGTCCAATCAGCAACATGTATATAAAGCACACGGTATTAAAGAGAACGTCTCTGGTTACTCACGTAACCGTAGTTCCCTGAGAGGAGGGAACGAGACATTACGTATGGGGAAATCCATTTTCCTCGAATCATGAAGTCTGATAGAATAACTCTTTTGCTTGCAAATAGCCAATGGCGGTCCCGCCATCACCTGATTGGCTGACACTGCTCAATATAGGTGACGGCGGGCGCCAAAAACCTCAGAATCTTAGCTGAACGAGAGTAAGGAGACTGAGAGTCCCTCCCACACGGCAGGTTACGTAATGTCTCGTTCCCTCCTCTCAGGGAACTACGGTTACGTGAGTAACCAGAGACGTTCCCTTATCGAGTCGGTCTCTCGACATTACGTATGGGGAACAATAAAACCCCCGCCGCGTGGGAGAACCCCCGCCCAGCTCTCAGGAACAGACACCGGACCTGGTTGAAACATCTATTGGCACAGAGCCAACTCGGCATCTGCACCAACGAAGGCCCCTCCCATCAAGCTAAGCACGCTGAACTGAATGGAGGGAGATTGCAGCAAGTGATTGGTGCTTAGGAAAATACTGCCGGCTATGAATGCGGACATAACAAAGGGCACAATATAGTGAACATAATAGCTATGCTAATAATAACTCGCACTGTCTGACGACTAGTCGAACCGTGGCTAGAGCGCGCGCCATCGGGGCAGTCTAGCCTAGTCCAACGACAGCTCAGCTTTCTCTCCCTGCACTGACAGACATGTGGTGCGAATGAAGGGATATTCAAGTTATAGAATCTCGCGAAGGTATTACGAGACGACCAACCTGCCGCGAAACAAATGTCTTGAATAGACATGCCTTTCGCCCACGCCCATGATGACGCCAAACTCCTAGTGGAGTGGGCGTGCACCCCTATAGGGAAACGGCTTCCCGTGAAGCATAAGCCAGCCAGTGCACAGCCTCCACTATCCAGTGAGATAGCCTCCGTTTCGACAGCGCGCCGCCTCTTAGCACCCGCGTAGCAGACGAAGAGCTGCTCTGAAGTTCGAAACTGGCTAGTTCTGTTCACATAAGCACGCAGGGCACGCATGGGGCACAAGCGTACTTCTGAGACTCTGAAACACTGACCTCATCCGGGCAAAATGCTGGAATTGCAACCACCTGGGCTCTGATGAATATACGCAGTAGATAATAGCCCCATAATAGCATAGCACCTCAGTAAACAACAAACACATAGCCGTAGCTACAACTGTGAGTAGACGAGTTAGCACAGAATAGCCAGTTGTACTGAAGGAAACGGGGCAACATAACAGCATAGCACATGTACATAACAGCATCGGTCGCTGTAGCGCATCCATGCATGTACATAACGCAGCATAAGTCGCCGTAGCGACAGAACTGCGTAGAGACAGAAACTGAGATGTACAGTTCGATCAGGATGGCTAGCTGCACGGAAACGGGGCAGCATTACAGCATAACACATGGTAAATTGCACATCCGTGTACGTACATACATTCAGAAACTGTGAGTATGCACAGTAGATTAAGATAGCTAGTTTTGCACTGAAAGAAACAGGGCAACAAAATAGCAACACGCGTCCTTATACGTACATAAGTGCAGTGTAGTCGCTGTAGCGACAAACTGAATATGCAGTTAGATAGGATAGCTGGTTGTTGCACTGAATGATAGAGGGCAACATAACAGCATAAAACATCAGTGTGCACATTTTAAACATCTGTGTGTATAATGCAGCTCAAGTTACTGAAGCGACCGAAACTGCATGAATATGCGTACACAATGGTCCATTACATTGAAGGGCAGCATAACGGGCATAAAATCTACACAGATGCAATGCAAGTCGCCGTAGCGACGACTGAGACTATGCACAAGCATAGTTACATTTTTGTGTACAAAAAACACAGCGTCAGAGGCATAGCGACATCGATAGTAAATACGTAGTTAATCGGAATAGCCGGCTGCACTGAGGATACAGGGCAACATATAACGGCATAAATCATAGACACATATCAATGTACATAACACAGCGTCTGTGGCATCGCGCAACAACTGTGACTACACAGTAAAAGAGTAGCCAGTTGCACTGAAGGATACAGGGCAATATATAGCGGCGTAATATTGTAATCAGTGCGTTGTGTGTACACAGCGTCAGTTGCATCGTACAACAATTGTGAATACGTAGTGATCAGAATAGCCATTTGCACTGAATGACACAGGGCAAAATATGACGGCATAGATCATAACACATATCAGTGTGTAGTGTGCACAAACACAGCGTTAGTTGCATCGCACGACAACTATGAATACGCACTGCGTAGTAATCAGGATAGCCATTTGCACTGAATGACACGGCAATATATAATGGCATAAATCATTACACATAACAGTGCGGTGTGCACAAACACAGCGTCAGTTGCATCGCACGACAACTATGAATACGTAGTAATCAGAATAGCCATTTGCACTGAATGACACAGGGCAATATATAAGGCATAAATCTTAACACATATCAGTGTGTAGTTTGCACAAACACAGCGTTAGTTGCATCGCACGACAACTATGAATACGCACTGCGTAGTAATCAGGAT